TGGTGGGGTGGGGCTGTGCTGGGGTCCCAGAGGCCTCCTGGTCAGGATTTTGTGATCAGTCTTTCTGGTCCTGTAGGTGTGTTAACAGAAACCTCTCTCAGCTGTCCCACAGCTCAAGCAGTCTTTGGCAGTGCCAAGGTCCTGTGAATGGATCGCTTTTGACCTTTCTTTCAAACCTCCTGTGGAGAACCAGGGCTCCGTCCTGATTTCTCCAGGTTCAGAGGGTAAGCTAGGCCCCTATGCCCTTGAGATTTCCAGGCTGTTCTTTGTTTACCTGGAGCACCTGCTGGGGAGGGTAATGCCCGGGGCCTCCAGGGAGCTGGGAAGCAAGGCGGGATGCAGCACAGGTGTGTGTGTGTGTGTGTGTGTGTGTGTGTGTGTGTGTGTGTGTGTGTGTGTGTGTGTGTGTGTGTGTGTGTGTGTGTGTGTGTGTGTGTGTGTGTGTGTGTGTGTGTGTGTGTGTGTGTGTAATGTCTGTGTACGAGTGGATGTGTATGTAGAGAAACACAAGGCAGCTGAATCCATAGGCTGAAGAGACCCATGTGGGCCCAGAGATCAAATTCCCAGACACCACACAGCCCCCTCCTCTCCCCTCTCCCCACCTCACCGAGCTCCCGCCCTTACACAGCAGGTGCTCTGAGGGCTTTCATCGTTGACAATGAGCTGGGGTGCAGCACACAGGGTCCCAGCAGGGGGACGAGGCAGGGAGGAGGGCAATGGGGAGCTCCTGTCTCACTGTCACTTGTCCACTGCTACTGCAATAGCAGGCAGAGACAGCAAGTTTTCTGGCTCTCTCTGGTGGCTGGGGTGGGGGCAGCCAGCAGTAGGGTTTCTGGGGGCCCAGCTGGGAGCTCCCTCAGCTCACCCAGCACACTCATCCCAGCCAGCGAAGGAATGAGAACACATGAGGGTACCCCAACCCCAGCCTGCAGTGGGAGCTCCCGGGGGACCCAGACAGCCTGTCTGGTGTATGGCTGGACTTTGTTCAAGAACACAGGAGACTCCCAGGGCACAAGAAGCCTGGCAGTGTCGCTGTCAGCCAGCATGAGCACTAGAAATTCCCACTGCTTGCCCCGACCCATGCGGCACTGAGACTGCAGGTGCTGATTTGGAAGTCAGGGGTGGGGTGGGGTGGGGTGGGAACCCAGGAGAGACAGGGTGCCTGCCTGTTCTTAGAGCCATCCCAAGTGCTGTCACTCAGCTTATGGTCACACAGCTTCCCGGAGACTCCAGCTCTGGGTTTTACTTCGCCCTTCTGCCGCGGGAGCCACAGGCACACTGCCTTCTGAGCTGATTGGGGGAGCACGAAGGGGTTATCGTGATGAAGTCCGTGAGAACTGAGGAGTGTTCATGAGCGTGCACCTGGGCCGGAGCTCCCCGGATTGTTAGCTCAAAGGTATTTCCTAACTTGCTCTAAATAGTTGGAATAGGCAGTACAAGAGCATGATGGTTCAACCAGCCAATCCGCTATCGGTGGCGGCATTCCATATGGCTGCTGGTTTGTACCCTGGCTGTTCCACTTCCCATCCAGCTCCCTACTTACAGTCTGGGGAAAGCAGCAGAGGCTGACCCAAGACCATGGGAGACCTGGAAGAAGCCCCTGGCTCCTGGCTTTGGATCAGCTCAACTCCGGCCATTGCAGCCAAAGGGGAGTGAACCAGCAGATAGATCTTTCTCTCTGTTTCTCCTTCTCTCTAAATCTGCCTTTAAAAAGTCTTAAAGAAAAAAAAATCAGTGGAGGCCCATAGGAGCTTGCTTTACATGAAAAGTTTTTCATGTTTTTATTTTTTTAAAATTATCATCAATAGAATAGTTTATTTCAATACTAGTGGAGTCGATGTTTATTATCTGACCAGATTATAAAAACACCAGAACAGGCACCTTAGCTCATTCTTCTAATAAGCCTGTTGATCCGGTCTTCCCTGTTATCAGCATCTCCACCTCTACCAAGTGGTGGTCTTTGTCTTCATCCCACCTTGGGGAGAAGGTAACTTGAGTGTGGGGTAGTGTGAGTCCACACTCACTACCCCACAGTTACATTCACACTCGGTCTCACACTCACACACACACTCACACACACTCACTACCTCACTACCTCACACTCACGACCCACACTCACTACCCACTCACACACTCACTACCCCACACTCACATACTCACTACCCCACACTCACACTCACTACCTCACACTCACGACCCACACTCATGACCCCACACTCACTACCCACTCACACTCACAACACCACACACACTGCCCACAGTCACACTTACTACCTCACACTCCCATTCACACTCACTACCCACACTCACACTACCCCACACTCACACTCACTACCCCACACTCACACTACCCCAACTCAGGAAGTTATTTGCTTCTTTAAAGTGCTTTCTTGCAGTACAGATATCATGAATCAGATGATAGTGTTTACCAAGGGAACGGGAAATCAGGGTGTTCTCCGTCAGGGCAATTCACTTGTTACTGATTTTGCCATAGCCATGCTTGTAGATCAGCTCATTCACCAACTAGATTCGGGGAGCCCCATGCAATCTAGGGCCCCACAATCCTCTGCGTGTTAATGGAAGCCTTGTTGAGCTTCACAAAGGTGCCACTGAAGATCTGGCGAAGGCGAAGAAGCTGCAGCACTTTGCAGACCATTGATACCTCTGATCCTGATGACAAACACCAATTTGGGTTCTGCAAGGACATAGCAGTGCTTTCCTTGCCGTCCTCGCCATCTGAATTTCAGTTCTGTGCATAAGCCTGTACTCCTTGTGATAGCGTTTGGCCTTCTCATAGATCAGCTTTCTTCTCACCTTTCGGAGCATCTTCTGGGAAAGCCTCTTTCACAGGCATTTGATCCTCAGCTCTGCAAAACTCCTGTTTTTTCTTCAGCGTTTCTGGCACAGCAGGAGATTTCTTCTTCTTCTTTTTGGCACTCTCCACGGTTCTAGCCGGACTATTTAAACATTTTTATTTAATATATAAATTTATTTATGGGCCCAGCGTGGTGGCCTAACAGCTAGGGTCCTTGCCTTGCACAAGCTGAGATTCCATATGGGCACTGGTTCTAATCCCAGCAGCCCCACTTCCCTTCCAGCTCCCTGCTTGTGACCTGGGAAAGCAGTCGAGGACGCCCCAAAGCCTTTGAGCTCTGACCCATGTGGGAGACCTGGAAGAGCTCCTGGCTCCTGGTTTCAGATCGGCACAGCTCCGGCCATTGCAGTTGCTTGGGGCATGAGTCAACAGATGGAAGATCTTCCTCTCTGTATATCTGAATTTCTAATATAAGTAAATAAATACTTATTAAGATTTATTTATTTTTATTGGAAATTTGTTTTTTTTTGAAGATGCATTTATTTGAAAGATAGAAAGAGAGGAAGAAAATTTTTCCTCTGCTGGTTCATTCGTCAAACACCCTGAAACAGCCAGAATTGGCCCATGTCGAAGCCAGGAGCTGAGCACTGAGCCATCACCTGCTGCCTCCCAGGGTATACGTTAGCAGGTAGCTGGAATCAAGTGGATCTGGGATATGGGATGTTGGCCTCCCAGGTGGCACCTTAGATGCTTGACCCAGCGCTTGCTTCTGCCTCCTCTTTTAATGCAAAGCATAGGCTAAGCAGCTGTGGAACCCTAATTCATGGATGGGGAGGTGAGACTGTAAGTTGTTCTCAAACTATTGGCTGAGCACATCCTATGTGCTGGCACTGTGGTGTGCTGGCGATGCAGCAGCACAAAGCACCAGGATTCCTCTTGGCGCTCCTTGGGGGGCGGGGGGGGGGCCCCCCCGGGGGAAGAAATTGCCCTGGGCCACACAGCACAGCAGGGTTTCAAGCCCAGTGCTGCCTCAGTGGGAGTGGGGAGGCTGAGGGGAAAGGGCAGGTGTTTGGAAGGGCTCAGCCTCAGGCCATTTCTCACCAGGTGTGTTCTGGTGTACTGGCAGGTGCACCTGTTCTGGCTGTGCTCTGGGTTAGCTTGAACCTTGTTGTATGTAACTGCTTGGAGCAGGGCTGATTCTGTGACACACTGGTTGTTGCCTCATCCTCAGGCCAGTGCATATGTCTGGACCCTGTCCGGGCAGATGAAGGTAGCTCTCTCCCTGTGGCCTGATGGGCAGTGGAGCCTTCTTCATCTTCCCATGCACTTCCTGTGTCATCGGCAGCCAGGTGTTTGTGTCCCTGTGCAGAAAGGAAGGGGCTGTGTGTGTGAGCTATGCCTGTGGACTGGGTCCACCAGGCCAAGTGTGAGTTGCTATATCTTTCCCCATGCAACTGTGGCTTGGGCACACACAGTATGGCTGTGGCTTAGTTTCTTCTGGAAGAACGAGAGCAAGCATCTCCACTGCACCCATATGTTGGGTTCTTACATGTCAGAGTTCTGTGTGCAAGGGACAGGGCGACCGAGGCACAGGGAAATCATGAGCTTGGCCAAGGTCACACTAGGCAGGTGGCTCTGCAGAACATGCTCTCAGCCTTTACACACACAGTCTCCTGGGCTGTTGGCCTATGCTGACACGTGGGATCAGTATGACAGATTCCTTGGCTTCCACTTGACCTCCACTTGAATGGAGGTGTGATTGGGAGAGCACATGGTGCGTGTCAGACAGAAGGTCCCCCACGGGCCCTGATGTTGTCCTTTCTCTACTGGGAGGAGACATGGTCTGTGAGCCCTTGGAGCTGAGTGGCTGTGGCTGTCCCTTGGGGAGGTGCTGGCGCTTCCACCTTCTTTTCCAGTTTCCTGGTCGTGGCAGGGCTCCAGCTACACAGCTGAGTGACAACAGTGGGGTGTGTTTGGTGGGGGAGGGGGTTGCACAGAAGGTTTTGAAACCCTCCCTGGTGGGGTGGGGGAAGGGTGTCTTGGAACATGCACCATTCCAGTTGAGCCTGGGGAGGGGAGCGTGAGTGAGCAGGTAAGGGCTAGCACAGTGGTATACAGCAGGAGCCAGGTGGCATTGCTGGCTGGAGGGCTGAGCTCTGGGAGACACTGTTCTGCTCTCTCCCAGGTGCTGGGGCTGCTGGTGTGGGCCCTCATTGCCGACACCCCGTACCACCTGTACCCGGCCTATGGCTGGGTCATGTTCGTTGCCGTCTTCCTCTGGCTGGTGACAATCGTCTTCTTCATCCTCTACCTGCTTCAGCTGCACCTGAAGTGGTACACCGTGCCCTGGCCGCTGGTGGTGAGTCTTGGTGGGGGGTGGCCTGGCTGCAGAGCTTGGGATGGCGGGAGGGTGGCTCTGGTGATGGGAATTACTGTGAACCAGGAGCCCAAGACCAGGCAAGTTATTCTTGGTTCTGGAAAGGGAGAAGGAGGAGGAATGGGGTTGGGGAAGGGGCTGTTAGCAATTCTGAATCCTTTTCCTTTGGGTGGCATGGATTGGGTCGCCCTTGAGGGTGAGGTATCAGACAGGAGCCAAGGTCAAGGTCTAGTATAGGAGGCTGGCTCGGGCCATCTGGGAGAGGCTAGGTCAGCCACAGAAAGAAGCCGGGCCACATGCAGGCGAAACTTCTGTTCTGAGCCGTTCACACCTGCGCTGAGTTTGAGGCTCCCTGTGGGTGGGGGCCAGGAAGCCATGGGACTGTGGGACCAGCATGGCTGGCACCAGTAGCACCGTGGGCAATTCAGGGCCTTTTGAGGTGGTGGAAGAGATGCGAGTCATCCACAGACAGAATGCGTCTGTTCCATTTCAGGGTTCTAAAACTTGCAGGGAGGGAGGCCTCTGTCTCCGAGGCCCAGAAAGGGGCTGGGGTCCAGGTGTACCTGTTGCTGGTAGGAGGTTCCTTCCACAGGTTTGGAAGGCTGAGCTGGCCCTGGTGTGCCTGTGCCTTTTAGCGAGTGGCATGGGGAAGATTTAGCTATAGCAAGGGAAGACTGGACTGGGATTGCGCACATGGGCTGGGGGCTCCAGGCAAGGCTTGGGGCAGGGGGAAGGGGCATGTGTGTGTTCTGGCAAAGGCAGCCTCCATCTGACACACATACACAGAGAGAGGCAGAGAGTGAGAGGAGAGAGATCTTAATCCACTATCTCTTGGTTTATTCCCCAGCTGACTGCAACAGTCAGGGCTGGATCAGGCTAGGGCAGGAGCCAGGAACTCCATCCACGAGTGGCAGGGGCCAAGTTCTTGAACTGACTTCTACTGCCTTCCAGGATGCATATTAGGGAGCTGGATTTGGGAGTGAAGCGGGAGCTGAACTTAAGGTATTTGGAGAAGGCCTAAGGGTGTCCAAGTGACACCTTAACTGCTCTGTCAAATGCCCGTCTCAGTATGAGCACTGAGAATCTTCAGGCTTTCATAAAAGCTGATTTTGAAATGCTAGTCATTAGAATCAAAGGCCTATGGGACAAATGCCCTGAGGGCCTGGCTCAGCACCACAGGGTCACTCCTTGCTCGCCCTGGAGTCCTGCTGGCAGTAATCCTGGCTCAGGCGGCATCTGCTGTGGGCTCGAGCCTAGGGTATGGCCAAAAGGAGGCCATAGAATCCTCCCACCCAAGGCAGGAAGGGCTCTGGGGCCCTGCACAAAGATCAGCTGCAGAACTATGCCCTGCACTGGCACCTGTTCCACAGAGGTACGGTTGGCATAGAGATGGTTGTAGGCCTACCTCTTACCAAGGCCAAGCGTTCTGTCTGGTGGGACTGGCAATACCTCAAATCCCATCTTTGAGGATGGCTCATCTTGTTTCCTCTACCTATCCTGTCTTAAGGGTGTTTGTGCACCTGCTTGGCTTCCATGCTGACCCTGGGCAGGGTAGCAGGGTGAGCATGCTGGCATCTCATGGGTTCCCACAATGGGAAGGTCCCCTGTGTTTCCATCCTCACCTTTGCTACTAACCAGCTGCGCAGTTCTCACGAATGTGAGCCTGTATGTCTCAGACACTCTCTCCCTGCCCCACCAGCTGATGATCTTCAATGCCAGTGCCACCGTGCTCTACATCACCGCTTTCATCACCTGTTCCGCCTCGGTGAACCTAACCTCCCTGAAGGGCAGCCGGCAGTACAACCAGCATGCGGCTGCCTCCGTGAGTATGGCTCCCAGGGCTCCCCAGGCTGTCTGCAGGTACCAAGATTCCTCTCACCAGGAACCTGCCTCCTCCCCACGGGTCTCAGAGGGAGGCAGGCTGCTTTTGGCTTCACTGATCAACAGTAAAACATTGGGGAACTGGGATACTTGGGGAGTGAGGAAAACTTGGGGGTGACCATGGAATTCTGCTGTAGATCAGCTGGGTTCACTCTTGCCACCTTGCCACACACAGTGTGCCTCCTCCCTTTTTTGCCCATGGCACATGCAGTCTTTAAGGTAAAGCCATTGTGTGTGTGTGTGTAGGCTGTCTAAAGGCACTCCACTTGAAGGCCAAGTTCAGTGGCTGTAGTGCCCTGCACACCAGTCACTTTACTTCACAAGGCCCTACATGCCTTCCTTGGCCAGTGAGGAAGAGGAAGGGCCTAGCACTTCCTTTCAACAGATAAGGAAACTGTGGCCAGCAGTTGTTAGATCTGAGGCCTGGCATTATGGTCAAGGATAGGGCAGGGTGTGGAATACCACATGGGTTTCCTTGCTTTTCCCACTGAGGGTGGTTTTGAAGTCAATAGCTTTATTGTGGAGACAGACCAGGAGCTTCTGAATGAAGCCATAGGTTCTACGTTATAGATGGGTTCTAGAAAATTCCTACGGCTGGCCTTAGAATGTCATCTTTCAGCCAGGTGTCTAAGGCTGCCTATCACTGGCTTTGCAGGGCCCCGTTTGCTGTTTTCCCTTGCTTTTGCAGCCTTACTACGATTTTTAGCTGTTTGCCCAGCTGGGAATGTAATGCCAATACCCCTCCCCAGAGCCTGGCATGCATCTGCCCATGGCAGTTGGTCAGAGGTAGGGCTAAGCATGAGGTGGTGGCTGCTGCCACTGCTCATGACCCAGAGGGCACTCACTTCCAGGGCCCTGTGCAGCCCTACTCAGCCTTGGTGTTCCTCTCCCTTCTCTTGCAGTTCTTTGCCTGTTTAGTGATGATTGCCTACGGGGTGAGCACTTTCTTCAGCTTCCAGGCCTGGCGTGGAGTGGGCAGCAATGCAGCCACCAGTCAGATGGCTGGGGGCTACGCCTAAAGCCCTTCCCCCCCGCCAACACACACACACACCATGTCCTGGCCCATCTTGGGGTGAAGATGCCACTGCTGGGTCACAGTGCTCCTGGATGTGCGCCATGCCAACACTCTGGAGGAAACAGGCCCCCGTGCCACACACACACACGCACGCAACGAGATCAGAGACCAACAGCTGAGACCTCCTCCTTGGCAGCGCAAGGGGACGGGGGAGCTGGGGTTCTCACCCTGCTTTGCCTTCTGCTGCCTTTGGTGGGGAGGATGGCACTCAGCCTCCTCCCTAGTGCTAAATGCACTAACACGCTGCAGCCCTGCAGCCCTGGCCTGCCACAGGGGTTAGCCTAACCAGCAACTCACGGTTCTCTTCGCCTCGGTTCCAGCAGAGCTGAGCAAGTGCACAGTCTTGTAGATTCCTCCAGACACGGTTCCAGCCCGCCCACCCCCAGACAATGCGTCCCTGTAGAGACATTTGCAGGAAGATGCTGACTCCTGGCAGCCTGTGGTCTTCCCCCTCTGCGCCCCATGCACACCAGTTATTTAATGTCAGTCAGAGCGACATCTCTGCCATGACAACCCCTCCGCGTTGCCTTCCTTATCCTGAGCCCTTGTGCTAACACTCCCTATGGGAACGCTAACCTGAAAGCCAACTGCATCTCCGAGGCTGTTGATTGGACAGAGGGCAGGGACCACAGCCTTGCCTTGGCAAGCTGTCAGGTGCTCCATGGTGACTTTGTGGTTGTTTGCCACCCTCCCGCCTTTTTTTTTTTTTTTAATAAAGATGAAAGAATTTATTTGGAAAGTATGTGGGGAAATCATGATTTGAGGGGATTCTATAACTTCAGGAAGCTGCAGATCAAGACTGTGAATGTCCCAGAATACCTGCCATCAGGCATTTCTGGCCCAGACTCCTCCGGCACCCATAGCCAAGTGTCCTGAGGCAGGCTCACCATCCGTCCTGCCTGCTTTGTGGGAACTGTACCTGGCTTATCATTAAATCCCTTACCTCTGGCTTTAGGGCAAGGCAGGTGACTTTACTGAGCTTCTAGCTTGTACACGTATGAGCTGATCAAGGTGGCTGGCTTACTGGATGCTCAGAGCTGGTGAAGGTCATGGTGGGGAAAGTTGCCAAATCCTCCGGTGGACGTTTTGAATACCACGAAGCCACACTCAGAGAATCCTGAGCTAGGGGCAGTCCTGAGAACCATCTGGTTCTTTGATCTGAAGTGGGACCAATGCCAGTTAGAAACACACAGCTGCAGGCGAGCTGATCAGCTACTGAGGGACAAGGATTCAGTTAGGCATCCACTGTGCCAGGGGCGACACCTGTTGTCTCGGTGTGAATGTTGATGTATGAATAATTAGTCATTCCAGGAGTGAGCTGTAAAGAGTTTAAATATAAGGAATAGCAGGCTACTTTGAGGTATAAGAGAAAGCAAAGTCCTTGGCCAGAAAGAGTCCCTACCTCCCATCTGATGCCTTAAAGCACAGCCTGGCTCACCCAAAATCCTGCAGTCCCAACTAAGCACAGCTCCTATGGGCCAGGGGCCTCCTGCAAACAACGTCCCCTGCTGGGGCTTGGACCAATGGGCAGGCTCACAGTGTTAACCAGCTACAGTCTTGCTTGCTTTTTCTGTTTAGGGAAGGGATCTCATTCTTGCACTCTTTCAGCTCTGTACTTGCCCACCCTCACCTCTTTGCAGCCTGGCAGACTTGCCCTGGGTCTCCTCAGGTGCCCCTGGCAGCACTCGTGGCCTGGGATAGGTGGTGTTCCTCACACCTGACAATGAGAAAGCCCCAGAGAGGTGCTGGTGACAAAGCTGCCCCTGAGGGTACCTCGAACTTCCAAAGACCAGAGCAGTAATGAGAACCTGGCAGCAGTGGCTACTTTCAAGTTCAAGGAATAGGCTGACTCAGGCAGGATGCTGCTTCTTGCAAAACACCTCATAATTTACTCAGGAACCAGAGCAGTGACATTGTGGGACAGAAAAACACAGCTCATAGCACATCCCATGAGACCAGAACAGCCAAGTTCAAAGTCAGTACAGATTCTTTTACTTAAAAAAGGGGGAGTATTCACTAGAACTGAATTAGTACATTGCTGCTTTTTTTTTTCCCCAAAGGATTAAGACACACTTTCAGGTTAGTGATATTCAACCAAACACTGCGTATAAAACCAAAGTGGACAGAGCAGTGGTTAAGCTGCTTCCTAACCCTACTCGTGAGCTTGACTTGGGGACATCATATTGGCAGATGACAAGAAGTTAGCGGTGCCCTATGCCATTGGAAAACAGCACATTGGCTTACCCAGAGGGCCCTGACGTACTCATGCGCAAACACTGAACAGGGCAGCCTCTAGCCTGCCTCCAGCACTCCCTGGGGCCCAGTCAGGTGGGAATGGCAGCACGGAAGGCAGCCGTACCACCACAGCACTGACACGCAGCGAGGACGCGGCATGGAACACTTGGACCTTCACTTGGCTAATCCTGGAAGCTCTAAAATCATTCCACTAGGTGAGCCTGAGTGTCCATCTAGAAAAATAGATAATTTTAAGAACAATGCTTAGAAGAGACTTCTAGAAACAGTAAGACGACATCAGGACCAGCAAAAGACAAAATGCTAGGACTACAAACGTCAGCCAGGGGCTTGATTCTCACATGTGGCTTTTAAGCTGAGTTTGAGGTGATTGCTACATCCAGGCAAAGCTGGGATCCTTGGCCTTAGGAGCCTTGCGATGGGCAGGCAGCTGGAGTATTGCCCGCGACAAAACACTCTGTTAGGTTAAAGGACTGAACCTACTGCCTGTGTGGAAAAGAGCTGCCGAGGACATAGGAAGCTTCCTGCAAAGCCTGCTGGGACACAGGGTCATGAGGGAGGTTATTCCACATGACTGCCACAGACACACCTGCTGGGTTGGTGGGGGGATGGCCCCAAGTAGAATGCTGGCCATGAGGTTGCTCCAGAGGGTCTGACTAGGAAGCTCCAGAGAAAGGTTCTGCTTGAGAGGGCTTTGAGGACCCCTGAATGCAGGAGGGGGCAGGAAGAAGCAGATCCGGAGGGGTCAGGCATGGTACCGACCCATCAATACTGAACCCGAATGAAGAGCAGCAGAACAGAGCCAGTCTTTCCAAGATGTATTCTGTGGCCATGGCCTGGAGCTGCTTGGAGCCTGTGGGCCGGTGACGTCCAGAACGAGCCCATTCACTGGGGTGGAGGTGGGACCTAGTGCCGCAGGTCATTCTGGGACGCTGGCAGAGAAGCTGCTTTGCACAACGAAGTCACCACTAAACCACTGCTTAAGTCCAGTCCCCGGCCTTCTTTTTCCTACACAAGGGGAGAAATATATTTAAGAAGCAAGGAGTATAGAGAGCCCTTCTGGCTAAGGACCCTGCCTCTGACCTGGGGAAGGCACGGCTTAGGGACACATGGGCTACCATGAAGCGCATAGGGAAGGAAGGGAGTTGATGTCCAGTGCTGGTTGTGGGCAGAACCTGGCTTCCCTGGGACTCACAGTTGTGTCTTTCAAATTGGCTGCACTGTCAGACACAAGGCAGAATTACACACTTTTTGTGTTTTTGTCCTTATTATTTTTGGGAATCTTCTATTCCACCAGAATGCCAACAGGTCTTAGCCAGAGGCACCCTGCGGCTCACTTAGCTAATTCACTGTAATGCTGGCCCATTAAAATTTTTTTCTTTTAATTAAAGAAAAAAATCAGGGCCTGGCATGGTAGCCTAGCAGCTAAAGTCCTCTCCTTGCATGCACTGGGATCTCATATGGGTGCCGGCTGGTTTGTGTCCTGGTGGCCCCGCTTCCCATCCAGCTCCCTGCTTGTAGGCTGGGAAAGCAGTCTAAGATGGCCCAAAGCCTTGGGCCCCTGCACCCACATGGGAGACCCGGAAGAGCTCCTCGCTCCTGGCTTCAGATTGGCATAGCTCCAGTCACTGTGGTTGCTTGGGGAGTGAATCATTGAAAGGAAAATCTTCCTCTCTGTCTCTCCTCCTCTCTGTGTATCTGACTTTGCAATAAAAATAAATAAATCTTTTAAAAAAATACTTAAAGAGACAGACAAAAAGACAATGAAAGCAGAGACAAGGAGAAGAGGGAGTCCTCATTGAGTGGTTCACTCTTCAAATGCCCCCAACAGCTGCAGCTGGGAGCCCAGAACTCAATCCCAGTGCCCCCAACAAGTGACGGGAACCCAGGTTACTTGAGGCATCCTTGCTGTCTCCAGGGTCTGTATCAGCAGGAATCTGGGGGCAGGACCATGAGCTCAGTACTGAACCTAGGTACTGTACAGGGGATGCAGGAGGCTTAACCACTCGGCTAACTGCCTGTCCCTGGACACTGGCCAGTTTTAAGGGTAGGGGCAATGCTGAGGGTAGGATGGGGTTTGTGCTCAATAGTTTTACTTCTGAAACATTTCAAAGGGGTTAACGTGGCTGAGTAAACAGTAATTACTTACCGCTCTGTAGTCCAGAAACATTTCCTTAAAAGCCAAAAAATCTGTAAATGTGAGCAGCATGTCGAAGATGTCACCAGCTACCTCATCTTTATGGTGCCTGCAAAAGGAAGAGATGGCTGTGTCAGAAATGATGACAGACTTCTCTCTTGAATATTTTATTCAAGTTTTCCCTGAATAGCAGAGAGAGGAAGAGAGAGAAAGGGATTTTCCAACAGCTTGGGTGGGTCACGCTAGGCCAAAGCTGGGAGTTAGGAACTCTGGCACTTGAGCCATCACGTTCTGCCTCCCAGGTTCACGAGCGGCAAGCTGTGTCAGAAATGTGGAGTAGCCAGGACTCAGACCAGGCGCAAGTCTTGGTATGGGATGTGGGGTGTCCCAGCCAGCAGCTTAGTCTGCTACCTCACAATGCCTGCCCCCCATTCAAAAGTTTTTGAAGGCTTCCCAACTCAGGATCTAAGCACCAACTGCAAGGGAGGTCATATTTTCAGGCTAAGGAAGGAGAAAGGTGAGGAAACCCAGGCAGCCAAAGCCAACTCACTGTAAGGTGGTCGTGAAAGCCGCCATGTTAAACCCAGGGATCCGCTCCAGCAGTTGTTCTTCGATGTACTTTTCCACCAGCGAAATCTGCCACGGCGGAAAGGCTCCCGGTCAGATCGCTTCAGGCGAACAAGACTTCTTTTCAGAAAGCCTGTCCTCTGGCACTTGGCAGCCACTTGCTGAGATCCTATTCTGGGTTGGGCTCTGTGCTGAGTGTCAGGTGAGGTGACACCTGCAGTATTCCCGCTGTCACAGGGTGACCGCTCAAGCCCCAGGTGGAGCCAGTGCAGAAAGCAGCCAGGAGATGATGTGGGGCCTGGCCCCCTTGGGAGAAGGAACCTGTGCTACCAGACATGCGTAAAGAAGTACCCCTTACCCTGAGAGGCAACCACGGGTAAGTAGTGTTTGAGCAGGTTGCTTGAGCTATACAGAGGACCTCTGAGGTCAGCCACAGCCTCGAGGCTCAGATGCACCCAGAGTCAGTTTACATTCTCCCAGGAGTGGCTGCAGAGGCCCTGAAGGACAATGTGAGGACCCTGGGGCAAAGGGGGTGGGGTTCTGGGTCCCAGGACTGGTGTTCTGCCAACTAGCAAATGAGTGTGGTTCTGGCATTTGCTCTTACTCACCGTGGCGCACCCCAAGGGATTATCTGGAAGCACAAAGGTCAGTCAAAGGCACACAGATGCAATGCCCAGGGCCAGTGTGGGACTGTGGCAAAGCCAAGTTTCTTCTAGTTAAGAAACTGTCAAGGGAATCACAAGTTGGCCTGAAAATCGCAGCCGCAACAGCCACGCAGAGGAAACACGAGCTAAGCGAGACCTCATTACATCTCCTGATGGTCCATCCGTAGTGTGTTATTTAAATGGGTGAGCAAATGTTAACGCCTTTGGGTTCCAGATTCCAATTTTAAAGAAACCTTAAATCCAGTAGGAAGAAGAAAACAAAAAACAATAGCCTACTTACATATTCGTTAAAAATTGGCGTGTAGGAGAGTTTATTCTCCTCAGTGTCCTCAAACTCCTGGTAGTACTTGTCCATGAAGTTCCTCTGTAACAGCTGGAACTCATCATCTAAAGCACACACAACAGTGAGTACTGGCCCTCTTAAGGAAACCACAAGGCGCTCCCACTCCCATGTGGGAAGCTTTCTCAGCAACCACGCCTACGTAGGGCAAGCTGGTGCTTTCAGGAGGTGCTGAATGGGAGGCATTGCGATGTCGAAACAGACCAAGCCAAAATTGGTTTACAACTGCAGTAAAGTTCGGCTAACATGTGCCGCTGGTGCCATTTTTGAAGGTAGAGTTCAGCGGCTTTAAGTTACTCACCCTGTGTGTGACTGTCCCCACCACCCGCCAAGTCTATGGGAAACACATCTACACTGCATGGCTTGAGCAAACGTCAACTCCTTCACAGCTCACTTCTGTCAAGGAGCGAACTGGGACTGATGGAGGCCAGACTGCTTGGGATCCAACCTCAGCCCTGCCGCTTTCTTCATCCAGAAAATGAGAACAATTTATAATAACTATCGTACAGGGTTGCTGAGTAGAATTCATTCGAGAATTCATGTAAAGAGATTAGTTCATAGTGAACTTGGGGCATAGGACATTTTTAAACAAGGACATAAAATATGACTTCTGAAATACAGGGGATGCTTCAGACAGGACCCAGACTTTGGGATGGATGTCCAGGACTTGCACAGGGCTCATTTCCTCACAGCATGGACGCTGTGGGTGAGAAGACTGATCCAACTCCTCAGTATTTTCCAGAAACCCTCCAGTGTACCCCAAAGAGCTTAAAGGTGAGACAGCCCTACCCAGGAGATGCGACACGAAGCTTCACAGACCTAGACACAGACAGGGTCTTACACAGTGACTTTCAGACAAAACAGACTAAACTCTTTAGCTAACAACATCAAATCTTTCCCTAATTCTCATTTTTCAAAGTTTCTCCCTCCTCCCATATTTGCTTTAAACCTCTGGGGTCTGTAATTGCTTGTTTGTGATGCGTAGGACTTACGGACGTCAAAATGGCAAGCAAAAACAGGCACCTGGCGGCCAGCACAGCAGTGGTTGCTGAACTTGGAGCCTCTGATTTCTTCACAGCTGCTGGGGATATGGTGTCTTAAGGTGGGGAAACACTAAAGCACCAATGAGATAGCCCTCATGCCATACACATACAGAGTAGGTCTGCTCAGGGCAGCCCAGCACTCAGCACCTGTGTACACTTCTCCCAGCGGCTGCTTGTTTCTAAGTAAGGCCCATTTCTGAGGACCTTATCCTGTGTCACCTCTGCATGGTTTTTTCACCGCTTACAGATTTTAACACCCTTAGAAGCCAGGCGCTCAGCACTGCAGAGCGCATGGGGCCAGGCTGTGACAGAGGGGATGCTCACCCATGATAATGTCTTCTAAATATCCAACCACAGCGTCAAACTCTGCATCCGAGGCCGAGGAGCTGAAAAACAGGTTTGCATCAGACCTTGGTTCACATAATCTGCTATTGAGAAGATGTGTGATGGGGCTGATGTGGTGGCTCAATAGGCTAATCTTCCTCCAGCAAGCACCAGGATCCCATACGGGTGCTGGTTTATGTCCTGGCTGCTCCACTTTCCAACCAGCTCTCTGTTTATATCCTGGGAAAGCAGTGGAGGATGGCCCAAAGCCTTGTGACCCTGCACCTATTTGGGAGACCCAGAAGAAGCTCCTGGTTTGGATTGGCTCAGCACCAGCTGTTGTGGCAATTTGGGAGTAAACCAGAGGATGAAGATCTTTCTGTCTCTCCTTCTCTCCATAACTCTGAACTGTCTTTACAAGCCAGGACGTGAATCATGCCAGGCACAAAAGAAAAAAAATCCTAAAAATAAAAATAAAATACGTGCTATGATAGGCATTTCCCAACATATACAACAGAAAACAAAACAAAACAAAAACAAAAAGCAAAACAAGTGTGCTACTACCCATGACTGTCCCATCCAGCAACTGCAAATAGAAGGAAACATACTTAGCACATTAGAGACAAAATTCAAATGCAAGGGCTCCACTTGTGCCAAAAGCCCCTCCAGCGCCCCAGCGTCCTAGGAATCCACTCACCGCATCTTGGCTCTCATGTCACTCCTGCCTGTTGCAAGCATGAAGCTGGCGTGGAAGACTGGCCAGGAGGGGAATTAGGTCAGGGCTTCCGGTGGAGGTGGTGGAGGAGAGAGGGAGGACGGGTTCTGACCCGCGGTCAGGACTCCCATCAGCTCTAGCTGACAACTAATGGTGGGAGGCAGGGGCATTGTGATGGAGGCATGCAGCAGGTGACACCCTCCTGGGAGCGGGAGCACATAAGATGCTGAGCACAGCCCTGGCCATCCTCCACTCGAACTCCCGAGGTCACCCCTGTACCCTGCCCTGCAGCCGCCAGGAACCCCGGCGGCGTCACTTACAAGGATAACGCAAAGTTCTCTTCTTCTAAGGCGTCCATCGTGGTCCGGCCAGGGTCCAGCCTCTGCTAGGCTTCCACGAGTACTCGCCCAACTCGACGGCACGGCGCTCGGCCGCCGGGGGAAGGAGGCCTCGCTCCCGGGCTGAGATCCGCTCACGGTTCAGCCGGGCCAGCGCCTGCGAGGGACAGCCTGCCTCAGGCTCCCCGGCTGCGGCCACGCATCGGCAGGGCCGTCTGGTCCACGCGCCAGCCCGCGTCCGTCGCCGCTGCGGGTCCAGCGTCGGTTACCGCCCGCTGAGCGCCGCGCTCCGCCTCCGGTCACCACAGCAACCGCGACCTTTTCCGCTGCCTCACGGACTCTGACCAATCACAGGCGCGGCGTCACCCGACGTCAGGGCGGGATAAAATCGGGGAGGAAGTCCCGGAAAAGAAGAGCTCCCTGCTGGCTTGCGTGGATAGAGATTCTGTGCAGATACCACGTCTCTTCGCGAAGCCAAGAGTCTCGATTTCCTCACTTAAAACTTGGTGTTAAGAGGTGCCTTGAGGTGTTTCGGAAGTTTAGCTTAAAGCGTAATTAGTTGCTTGAGTCAATTCCTTGTCTTGAGGTACGGATGCCTGGTTTGACAGTTCCGCCCCCTCGTGGAAAGCAAGCCTCACGGCGGGAAGTGCAAGCTTTGCCATGTGTTTCAGTAATTGGCTCTTTGGATAATTATCCAAGAGAAGAATAAATCCGATACCAGGAATCAGAAAACCTTGCTTCAGGAAAGGGTTCCTTCCAGAATTGCCAGATTTTGAAAATTATTCAGCTGCTTTGACATTTGATTAAACCACTAGGCATTGACTTTGTATAACTTTTTTTTTTCTTTTTCAAAGATTGATTTTTATTGGAAAGGCAGATTCACAGGAGAGACAGAAAGGCTTTCCATTCGCAGATTCACAACCCAAGTGGCCGCAATGGCCAGAGCTGAGCCGATCCGAAGTCAGGAGCTTCTGCCAGGTCTCCAATGAGGGTGCAGGGTCCCTTGGACCATCCTTGACTGCTTTTCCAGACCACAAGCAGGGCTCTGGATGAGAAGTGGAGCAGCCAAGACATGACCTGGCGCCGATATGGGATCCTGGCACGTGCAAGGAGAAGACTTTAGCCACTAGGCTACCATGCTGGGCCCACATAGCTTTTTAATGAAATATTTTTATTTATTTGAAAGAGCCACAGAAAGGAAGGAGAAAAAGAGGGAGAGAATCTTCACTCCCCAGGTGGCTACAACTGCCAGGGCTTGGTCTTGCTGAAGTGGTGGATACTTGGACCAACTTCCACTGCTTTCCCAGGTACATTGGCTGGGGACAGCTGGAACTGGACGTGGTGTTCATATGGGATGCTGGACTAGCAGGCTGTGCCACAGCGTAGGACCCTGCATGATTGCTTTTGCCCCGAAGTGTGTTCTATGGCTGCAGGGGTTTCCCGTCAGAAGGCCAGACTGAATCAATTAAGACTCCTTCGAATGCATATTAATAACAGCAGGATCTGGAACTAAAGGTGGCTACAAAGACAACTACATACAAGGTGAGATCAAGGAGGAAGGCATCAAAAAATGCTAGTTGCATTTGGGATGAGGTTTGGCCTGGTTAAACACAGGTCTCACAGCTTGTAGCACATTTCCACTTAATTGACTTTCTCCACATGCCACACTTATTTCTGGGCTAATGAACTTTCCAACCTTCCCTAGATCATTTATAGGGTCTGAGTAGGGCAGAAGGATCTTGATTTTATATGCAGTCTGCTCTAGTTATTTATTGGTATTACACCTCCCACCCCCTTAGTGGTCCACTAAGGTGGCAATTCTGCTTACTAGTTTGCAGTGCGGGCAGGGCTTGGCACTTGGTGGCAGCTGGCATGCAACCAGAGGGGGCTCTTCCAAGGAATTCACTCCAAACAACAGACTAAGGAGTTTGGGTTCTCAGCTGAGAGCTCAGTTGAGGATGCTGGCTGGAGGGTGGAGCTCCCCCTCATAGGTCTTTTGGAGACGTTTGCTCACGCCACCATGGCTGAGTTCAGGAGAGACAGCAAGTGGGAGCTACCAGCCACGTCAAGGCCTGGAACTGGAACACTGGGACAGCATCACTTTCACTGTCTTCTACTAATCAAGCAGACAAGGTCCACTCCAGATTTAAAGGGGAGAGGACATCCAGCTAATTTGTCGTTGGGAGGACTGTCAAGTTTGCAATCTCTGGCTCTAGAGAAAAAAGGGAATAGAGGTAACTATAGGTATTCAGTTATTCAGGCATGTGCTGGATACTGGACTGAATATTTACAAATTTTCAGGCCTAGTGTGATGACTAAATTGGCTAATACTCCCTTTGTAAATATCAGGATTTCGTATAAGCATCGGTTCCTGTCCCAGCTGTTCTGCCTCCCATTCAGCTCCTTGCTTGTGGCCTGGAAAAGCATTAGATGGCAGCTCCAAGCCTTGGGATCTTGGAGCCACATGGGAGACCCAGAGGAGGCTCCTGGCTCTGCAATACTGCACTGGTTCAGTTCTGGCAATTGTAGCCATTTGGGGAGTGAACCCATGGATGGAAGATCTTTATCTCTGCCTTAAAAAATAGATTTATTTTTTAATTGTTAAGTCACATAGAGAAGGAGAGGCAGAGAGGAAGATCTTCTGTCTGCTGATTTGTTCCCCAAGTGGCCACAATGACCAGAGCTGAGTTGATCCAAAGCCAGAAGCCAGGAGTCAGGGGCTTCTTCCGGGTCTCCCATGAGGGTGCAGGGTCTCAAGGCTTTGAGCCATCCTCCACTGCTTTCCCAGGCCACAAGAAGAGAGCTGGATGGGAAGTGGGGCCGCTGGGACTAGAACCAGCGCCTATATGGGATCCCAGTGCATCCAAGGCGAGGATTTTAGCCACTAGGTTACCATGTCAGTCCAGTGTTCTCTTTGTAAACCTCCCTTTTCAATAAAACCAAATCTTAAAAAAAATTCCTTTGCATTAACTGTTTATAAGTTCTTTGTAGGGTTGGCATTAATTTCTCCACATCAATAGCAAAAGATGAATAATGTACAATCTTAGAGAAAGCTGTAGTTTTCCTGGTCAGGCATTCAAGATGGTTAAAACTTGGAAAAAATAATTTTCTGTTGCTAAAAGTTTGTTTCTGTGACTGAATCATTTGTTCTTGGCACCTTGCAAATGCCACCATGATCTTCTGCTTTATGTTATCCAATAAAGGTGGCAATTCATTAAAAAAAAAAAAAGCAGTTTTGGCTGGAACACTTAATTTTCCCAGTTTAGTCCTTGGAGAAATGCCAGTGTTGAATTCTTTCATGTTGTTCCCACTGGAGATCGTATACGCACCAGCAGTTGGTCTGGCTTTCCACTTCTCTCCAAGTGCTTGATGCAGGATGTGGTTCTCCTGCTGTTCTCTTCCACTTGGTGTGCTAACCCCGAGGTTATCTCCCATGTTGAAGAGATGTCTTTCCTTTGAACCAGCTCTAAGATCCCATCTCTGATCACACCCTGGATAATGTTATCAGTTTAACACTGGAATCTTTTTGTGTGTGTGTGAACTAGAAGTTAAGGATTTGAAAAACAGGCCATCATCAGCACAAAGTTCAAGTGTAGCTTTGCACAGAGCCGGCAGGCCCTGACCACTGGCAGATGGTCTGTTAATTCTATCACTGTATGTAGACCACCCCTCCTGCAGCTGGAGTACTTCAGTTCTCTTTACTGGTCTTCCCAGTGGCACTTTTTTTCTTTCCTTTCCCTTTCTTTCTTGCTTTCTCTTCCCTGCCCCATCTACCCCTAGTTGCTTTTCCTCTGTGCTGTCACAGCTCCATCCCATTCTCCAGATCGAAGACAAAGTCATCTTTTAAATCTCTGCTCAAGGCAATTTGTGCTTAAAATCCACTGCGTTTAAACACACACACAGAAAGAAAAACAGACAAAAATCCATTGCTTTCTACTGCTTAGCATAAACTGTAAAATCTTAAAGATGGTCTTCAGGACCTTCATCTGCTGGGGTTGGGGGCGAGGTCTCCCACAGGGTTCCGCAGCCCTGGGTAGGCCCTGACCTGCAATGCTATGTTCACCCAGCTGCCCAGTCCTGGTGGCCTGCTCCCATCTGTGCCGCATGTCCTACCTCTTTCTTTAAGGTCTCCTGATCGATCCCCAGTGTCTAAATTAGGTACTGAAAGTTCTCCCTAGGAATCTAATCTTTCCCTCAGAGCACTAACAATTTATTACAGTAAATGCAAATGGTGGCCTTTTTCCCCTTTCAACCAGACATAAACTCCACAGACATACAGCTTGTATACCACAAAGGCCCTGCGTGTTATAGGCGGTAGATGTAAGTAATTCATCTTACTTCTTATTTCTAATACTTGATTTTCTCCTACTCTGAAAAGCAGTATTTAAAACCTAAGAGGAAAATGTCTTAGTAAAATTAGTAAATCAATGAGAACTGTGAAATCTTAGTCAAAAAAGGCAACAGATGTTTTATTCTTCAATGCAAATTACTATATTCACCACAAGCTAAAGAACATATATCTATATATGTATATATTTATATATTTATATATTTTTGGATTGATGGAAGACTAAAGACATGGAAAAAAATCCAGCACCCCAACAAGTACAGCCAGGAAGGAAATCAGCTCTGTAGTGGGACAGGTTTAATGGACTACAAACAAGAAAAGATTGGAAAGGAAGAAAAAAATGTGCATTGAGTTTAAGACACTGTAAAACTCAAAAGACATATTTACTATTCAAGTATAAACTCAGTAAGGACTTGGCATAAATTGAAAGGCAGCTGCTGAGGTACACCATTAGAAAAGAAGTTCTCTGAATTTATAAGTCTACCTTCCAATTTTCTGGGAGAAAAAAACCAAACTCTTGAAGGTCTTCACCAGAGACCCTGAGAGGGATTAACACTTGTGATGAAGACATAGTCAACAATCCATGATTGAATTTACTGTTAAAAAAACATGTATTTATTTAAAATAATAGGAATACGTGTTTTCTGACTGTCCTCTGGAGTCTTTGAGACTATAGTTCAAGAGTTTCAAAGTGTATTATTTCCAAAAACAATAGATTAAAAAAACTTTTTAAAACAAAAACCAAAAAACCTGATTTGATGGTACCTTATAAATATCCTAAATATCAAATTTTCTCCAGTCTAACATTGCAATGAATTTAACAATTCCTCCTGCATTGGTAAGACTTTTTTTTTTCCTCACAAAATGTGGGTACTGAAATTGGATAGAAACACCATGAGTGTGAAAATACCACCAATTTTCTGCAGTTAAAAAAAACTAGAATGTTCTTTGGAATCACTAAAATATAAAAAAATCCGGGTTTGTTTTCTACAGTCTGCACCTTCTTTCAGGTTCTCTGTGTTGCTTGGAGCATGGACCTGTGTGATTCTAAGTCTATATAGTTCAAGTCTTGCAGTGCAATATCCACATTTAACACACCGGTGTCTCTCTGACCAGTGGGAAAGTTCTGCTTAACCCAGAAATGCTCTTATTTACGCCTCCGTAATGACATCTCCCCCAACATAAAACTTTAGAATATGACACGAAACATCCTGTTTTAAACAATCAAATGAACCCGATGTGAATTCGGGCGTGGTTTCAGCACTCAGGAGAGCTCTGTCTCCAGTTGTTTTTCATGGAAGTACCGCAGACCCGGCTGCTAGCAGTTAGCTTTCCTTGGCCTTGAGAGGAATTTTGCAGGGCTGGCAAGTTGGATTAGATTCTAAGAGGATTTTGTCTTTGAAAAACTACCACTTTTAGCATAAAATCTGGTCATGGCTATAAGTTTCAATGTGCGTACAACTGATTAGAGATTTTTTTTTCTTTGTTTTTCTTTTCAATATTGGCTGGAATTCAGTAGAAACAAGTCCATGGTGTCTCTTCACCTATGTCATGAAATATGAGAAATCTGTCTCACTCTAGACACTATTTCTTTACGACACAATGGGCAGGTCTCCAGTTGCAAGGCACAATCCATGCACAGATCACTGGAAAAAAAAAGATATAAATGCAATCAGGTTAATGGTTCAAAAGGTCAATTTATAATTACCTGCAATTAAATCTAAAACATGAGCAAATTTGTTCATTGAAAGGCTAATAATTATACGATTCATAAAATTTGAAATTATAAATGCATAAATAAAATTTAAATTAAAAGTCTTCTTTCTCATCTTCCTTTTTTTGTTCATTAAAAAAAAAAAATTTATGGGCCTGGCGTGGTAGCTTCTCTCTTGCATACACTGGGATCCCATACGGGCGCTGGTTCGTATCCTGACAGCTCCACTTCCCTTCCACTCCCTGCTTGTGGCCTGGGAAGGCAGTGGAGGATGACCCAAAGCCTTGGGACCCAGCACCCATGTGGGAGACCTATCTGGAAGAAGCTCCTGCCTTGGATCATTTTAGCTCCATTGTGGCCACTTGGGGAGTGAGCCAGTGAATGGAAGATCTTATTGTCTTTCATTCTCTCTGTAAAGATCTTCTGTTTGCTGGTTCACTCCTGAAGAGGCTGCAACAGCTGGAGCTGAGATGATCTGAAGTCTGGTGCTTTTGAGGTCTCCCACATACATGCAGAGTTCCAAGGCTCTGGGTCATCTTCCACTGCTAACCCCAGCTACAAGCAGTGACCTGGACTGGATGGAAAACGGAGTAGGCAGGAGTAGGCAGGACATGAACTGGTGCTCGTGGGATCCCAGCAGGTTGCAAGGCAAAGTTTTAGCTACTAGGCTGTCATTCATTATTTTTACACTTTATTTATTTATTTGAAAGGCCAAAACAGAGATAGAGATCTTTCTTCTAATACCAGTTTACTCTCAAATACCTGAAACAGCCCGGGCAGAGCCATGTAGAAGGCAAGAGCTGAGTTCTTCCATGTGGGTTGCAGGGACCCAACTGCTTGAACCCTCACCTGCTGCCTCCTGAGGCATGCATGAGTTCTGCCAGGAATGGAACCCAGGGACTCCCTGGGTGGGTATGTGGCCTGCTGGTTAGGATGCTGGTAAACACAGTACACCTCATGTTTAAGTGCCTAGCTCCAGCTTCTTGCTAACACAGTCCCTGGTGGGCAGCAGTTATGGCTCTAGTGATTCAATTCCTGGCCTGGGAATTCCTGCTTTCTAGTTTTGACCTGGTCTGGTCTAGGTTATTAAGGCATCTAAGGAGTGAGCCAATAGATGCACTCTCTATTTGTCCTTCTGCCTCTAACATGTTCACTTCTCAAATGCCTGCAATGGCTGAGATGTGAACTCTACACAGGTGGCTCACTTGACATCACTTGCTGCCTCCCAGGGTGCATGTCAGTAGGAAGTCACTATCAGAGTTGAGCCAGGGCTCAAGTTCACACACTCTACATGACGTGGGAGTATCCCAACTGATACCATTTTGTTTAAAACAAACAAAAAACCAGGAGCTCTTTTTTTTTTAAAGTTTAGAGATTCATTTACTGTTTATTTCAGAGTTACAGTGCGAGAAGAGGGAAAGGGGAAGAGGGAGGGACAGGAGAGAGAGGGAGGGAAGGAGAGAAGAAGAGAGGGAGAGAGGGAAAGAGAGAGAAAGCAAGCAAGACAGACAGACAGACAGAGACTTTTCCACTCACTAATTCACTTCCAAATGGCCACAAGGCCAGAGCTGGGATGGTCTAAAGCTAGGAACCAGGAGTGTCTTCTGGGTCTCCCATGTAGTGCATGGCACAGGACCATCTTCCACTACTTTCCCAGGTGTATAAGCAGGGAGCTGGGTTGCAAGTGGAGCAGTTGCGACTTAACTGGTGGCCATATGGAATACTGGCACTGCAGGCAGAGGCTATGCCACAGTGCATTTGAGTCCCAGCTGTCATTTTGGATCCAGGTCCCTACCAATGGGCCCTACCACTCACAGGAGAGACCCTGATGGAGTTCCAGGTCCCTGGCTTTGGCCTGGCCCAGCCCTGGCAGTTATTTAGCGTATAAACCAGCTCACATGCAGTCTCACTCTTTCTCTGTAACTCTGCCTTTCAAATAAGATAATCTTTAACATGAATTTATCTTATTCAAAATAAGATAATCTTCCATATCAGCTGCTTTAGTTTTAGTACCTTCTAGAAGACAGCCAGGTAATAAATGACAAAGTAATTCCTCATTCATTTTAAACAGTGTAAGTGAAGAGCCTATGGAAATAATAACAGTGTACAAGCAATTCATGAAGGGGAAGAAAGGCTGCCTGGTGTCATTTGTGGCAGGGGAGTCCCTAGTGAAGCCTCTCACCTGTGTCCACATGGCTTCAGTTGTGTGTCTGCCACCTCATCACAACAAAGGGAGCAGCAGTTCTCTCGGATGCTGACTTGCTTCAACAGAGCAAGACGCCTGTGCCTGAGTAGAAAAAGCATTTGAAAGTTATTTGTCACAAAGTAAAATATAGCCTGCAAGCAAAGATGCTCTGGAAATGCACCGTACCTGTGAGATGTACCATGTAAGCATCCTTTAGTCAGGTTTTCACACAGACTATCTCATTATAATGTTAAAATAACTTTCTGAAGTAGGAAATGAAGGAGACGTGGCCATTCCCATTTTATAGGCAAGAAAACTAGAAGTTTAAAGAAGTGAATTGTGGAAGGTTGCAAACCAGTAAACAGGGTCAGGATTCAAGTGCAAATCCCTCTTGATCTAATCCAGGGTTCTTTTAATTCTGCCAGCAAATTTCAATCTTTTAAACATGGTTTTGAGTTTGATGGGAAGCAGACTTTCCAAAGAAACACACTTCCATCTTTATGTAATTTCAAGTGGTTTATGAGTCCAGTGTAGACTCCCTGCAAGTCCAGGGACCCGAAGCTAAAAGCCTCCCATTACACCTTCATTAAGATGAACTGGAGAAGCAGACAGGCAGGCAGATCTGCTCTGTGAATGCAGGGTCTTCATGCCTGGGTAGGAGACATGAGCCATTCACTTTGGAGGTGAACTTTCTGTTCCCAAAATTGTTTCAACAGAGGAATAAGGAAGTATCCCTGCCTTCAGAGAGCTTATATTCTAGTAGGGAGGTGAAAGACATAACCAAGATAAGTAAGTAATACACACAGACTGTGAAATGTTGATGAATTACTACAAAGCAAAACATAAAGGGCAAGCGGTGTGTGCATGAGAGGTAGAAGTTATAATGGAAAATATGGTAGTCAGGAAAGAGCTCATTGAGGTGGTGTTTAAATAAAGATGTGTAAGGGAGTGTGGAAGTGATGTCTGCGGACATCTGGAGACCTCAGATATGCTGAGACTGTATACGTGTATTTCCAGAGCAGCAAGGATCACTGGGTGGCTGAAAGTACATGGGTGATACAGTCAGAAAAGCACTGTGGGCCAAGACAGGACCCACTGTGCAGGGCCTTGTCAGTCACTGTGAGAATTTAGACTTTTCCCATACCAAAATGGAATGCCACTGGAAGTTCACCAAAATCATTCTGGAGGCTGTGTTGAAGAGACTGAAAGGAGTGAAGGCAAGAATAGGTTGGAGGGGAAGGCAAAACTAATGCAGGTGGAGAAACGGTGGAGGCTGAGATCCTGGCAGCAGTAGTCAGGATGATAAGTAGTGGGACTGGGAGACATATATGTGTGTATGTGTGTGTATATATATGTATATATACATATAGTTCATTTATTTTATTTTGAAAAGAAAGAGCAACAGAGAGAGAAAGAGACATACAGAGGCAAGTTTTCCCATCTACTGGTTCGCTCTCCAAATGTCCAAGATGGTCAGGTAGAAGCTAGGAGTCTGGAATTCCATCTAGATTTCTATATGGGTGACAGGGACCCCAGTGATTGGGTCATCTTTCAGTACGTTCCAGGCACATTAGCAGAACTGGAAGCAGAACAGCTGGGACTTGAACTGGTGCTTGTACGGGATGTTGGTGTTGTAGGTAGTACCTTAACCCACTGCTCCATACCACCAGCCCACGACTGATATATGTGGAAAACATAGATTCCAGGATCTGTCCAAGGATCAGATGTGGGAATGGCAGAAAGGAAGGTGTACAGGATATTCTAGAATGACCAGGGATAGTGGACTGCTAAGGGGGCTATTTACAGAAGTGAGAGAAGAAAAACAGGTGATGCTATAGATAGAAGATGTGCATATATGCACTATTATACTACTATTGTCTCTTGCATGTATTTGAAATTGTCCACTCTAAAATTCGAGTGGAAAAAAAATGAAAGAAAGAATTTGGGAATACATACAATATACAACAACACACAAAGCATCAGGTAGTGGTAATAGGGCCATGAGTTCTTCCCAACCAGAAAGGTATTGTTATTCTAATTGTTTAATTGTAAAAAAAAAAAAAAGTACTTTTTAAAAACAGGATCACAGAATAGAAGCTGAACAAGGTTAAAACTACATGTTCTTCAGTGCACATGTGAGAAGACAGATTCATCTGTGGCCTCTTCTAAGGAAAAGGCAGGCTATACTTTCTCTTCTTTCTTTTTCTTTTGAAGGGAAAGGGTAAACAAGAGAGCAAGATGTCATCATCTTTCACTGAGAGCACTGGGGGTACTGAATCCCTGGGCGGTCCTAAGACAGCCGAGTGAGATTCTAGGGAGGAAGCTCAGGTTCCTGAAGTGGCACATGGACGGCCTTCATGGCCTAACAGTAGTATCAGGCTGTTCTATTGCCTACAATGACATGTTCAAGTTCACCTGGAAACTGTTGAGCCACTATGACACTGAGTCCAAAATGATATACAACCCAGAGGTTGGCTTAGATATTTTGAGCCAAAATAGGGTTGGTCTTTCTTTCTTTCATTCTTTTCTTTAATTCTTTTTGTTTGTTTGTTTGTTTGTTTGTTTCTTTCTTTCTTTCTTTTCTTTCTCTCTCTTCCTTCCTTCCTTTCTTTCTTTCTCTCTCTCTTTCACCATTTAAAATAATGGCGAGGTTCTCTGTTACCCAAAGACTCGGCAGAAGAAATCCCCTGTGAAACTTCTTGGGTCTGGTGCTTTTGAGTAAACAAAGATCTTAGGGATCTAATCATAACAATTAGTTTGTATATAACTGTTTTGGTCACTGATATTTCCTGTGAGTTCATTTAATATAACCTTTCAAAATTATTTGTTCAAAGTTAAATTTTCTCAAGGGATGCTTGTGAGGTTCTAGAGATAGTTCGGACAGACTCCTTACCTTGGCAAAATGATTTTTTCCTCAGCTGTTAGGAAGGCATAGTCATTAAAAGTGCTAAATTTCATAGATGGTGGGTATTTAAATGGTTTTGCTCCAAAATTGAATTCACATTGTTGATATGACATAAAACTAGCTGCCGCAAAAAATCCAGATCTACAATGAAAACATGAGGTCAACAGAATTAAAAAAAAAAAGGCAGCAAAGTAATGTTCACATATAAAATTTTTCAGAAAGAATGAGCTGGTCATACTAACGGCAAGAGAGGGACATGCAGTCTGCTGACTGGTCTGCATACCAAAAAATAGCTTGCATTTTCTCTTCCTATATCAAGTTTTGGGATAGTTTTAAGCCTGATCAAACAACTCCCCAGTAACTTAAAATAACAGTTTCCCACCACAATAGCTTACATAAATGAAAAGGATCTTGTTTTCCTAGAGAAAAGTTTATCCAGTGCTTCTACTCAAGGTTCCGACTGAGAGGAGCTACTTACACAGTAGATGAAAAGACTTGCTTCTCTGGAGGCAGCTGGTTGCCATTTAAAAAGAAGATCATTTGCTTTTCATTCAAGTCTAACAGAAACCCCACTGTATCTCCTGGAGGGCAAAGTGGAGCACTGTTAGGACACGGGCATTTCAAGGGCTTCAATAGCACTGCTGTAGGGCTACAGCTTTAGCTGTATATTCATCTCCCTTATTTCTTCTGCAAATGATCCGAATCCTACATACCAATAATTTAAGTTAAGAAAAAGTGTTGCCTATTAAGCTATGACAAACATTAATTTTATCTGAATTTCAATGATGATGAAAATGCAGGGTAAAAATGCATTTTTGAAATCAGTGAGGGCCTGGTGCAGTGGCCTAGTGGCTAAAGTCCTCGCCTTGAATACACCGGGATCCTATATGGGCACTGGTTCTAATCCTGGCAGCTCCACTTCCCATCCAGCTCCCTGCTTGTGTCCTGGGAGAGCAGTTGAGGATGGCCCAAAGCCTTGAGACCTTGCACCTGCATGGGAGACCCGGAAGAGCTCCAGGCTCCTGGCTTTGAATTGGTGCAGTGCCGGCCATTGCTTGGGGAGTGAATCATTGGACAAAGATCTTCCTCTCTATCTCTCCTCCTCTCTATATATCTGACTTTGTAATAAAAATAAATCTTTAAAAAAGATTTATTTATTTGTAAATAAGAAAATAAATGGATGGGAAGTAGAGCTGCCAGGATTAGAACCTGCACCCATATGGGATCCTGGCGCGTTCAAGGTGAGGACTTTAGCCACTAGGCCACCACGCTGGGCCCAAAATAAATCTTTTTAAAAGATTCTGTATCCTAGTTGCCAGAGAATCTCCCTTGTGTGGATTTACCTTGAGAAAATCCAGAATCACTTATAGCGGTACTTTTAAACGGCAAAATAATTGCAGCATAAATATAAATGGACTATTAAGAACTTTATAGTATCAACAATGAACTTATTTAATGACCTGGAAAATTATTCATAGTAAAGAGTATAATAACAATAAATAATATCTAAATTTAAATTTTTCTTTTTTATAAATTTCTGGAAGCCCAGCACCATGGCATACTAGGCTAAGTTTCTATCTGTCTTTCTACCTTTCATTATAAATAGATGTTTATAAAAACAATAATAGGCAGATGGTGATGTCACAAACGAATCCTCTGTCTGTGATGCCAGAATCCTACATGGGTGCTGGTTTGTGTTCTGGCAGCTCCACTTCCCATCCAGCTCCCTGCTTACAGCCTGGGAAAGGCAGCAGGGGTTGACCCAAATCCTTGGGATGCTGCACTCATATAGGAGGCCCAGAAGAAGATTCTGGCCTCCAGCTTCAGGTCAGCTCAGCTCTGGGTGCTGCGGCCACTCGGGGAGTGAACGAGCAAATGGAAGAGCTCTATCCTTCCTTCTCTCTTTGTAAAATCTGTCTTTCAAATAAAAACAAAAATAAGCAACAACAACAAAAGCCAAAAACTTCTGTGTAGAGAATCATGGACGGTTTTAAATATTCATTGCTCTTTCTCTATTTTCCAAATGTTTATAGTAAACATATTATCTCAGCAGTCTTTTAAAAATTTTTTATTGAAAAATGGACAGCTTTGAAAACAATGCCTCCATTTTATACTCTTATATGAAGATGGTTTATGTGCTTTTAAGAATCTGCGTAGCCCTAAAATGAGTGCCTCTGTTGGCATTTCATTCTTTTTTTTTAAATGTAAAAATTTTTAAATTTATTTTTATTGGAACGTCAAGTATCAGAGAGGAGGAGAAACAGAGAGGAAGATCTTCCCTCCAATGATTTACTCCCTAAGTAGCTGCAACGGCCAGAGCTGAGCTGATCCAAAACCAGGAGCCAGGAGCTTCTTCTGGGTCTCCCATGAGGGTGCAAGGTCCCAAGGCCTTGGGCCATCCTTGATTGCTTTACCAGGTTCAAGCAGGGAGCTGGATGGGAAGTGGGGCTGCCAGGATACGAACCAGTACCCATATGGGATCTCAGCACAAGGTGGCTAGGTTACTGTGCCAGGCCGTGTTGGCATATGGAAATGGTGCTGTCTTTGCACTGAGCTTATCAAATACTGTTCTCATAGCAAGTCTGAAAGTGTAGTTATACAGCTGACTGGGGTAGGACAAAACTCCCATCGTTTCCATCTCCTACCAAATAACCTTTCTTCCACAGTGCAGGGCCAATGAAGAGGACTTATTCCACAGCCATCCAACCTCTAAAAATGTCTTCATTTTGGTGACATTACTAATCTTGTATTCCTGATATCTCCATGGAAACCAGATTCCTATTATTCTTAAGAGTATCATTTTCCCACAAATTTAAGACTTGTATATTCTGAAATGTTTCTGCTATAGGAAGGGCTCTACCGGACAGTAACATTCACATTCATGATACTAATGCAAAGGTTAATATTCCTTCCCATTTTTAATCTTCTCCCATTTAAACATGTTAAAGTCTAACATAATAAACTCTTCATAATAACCAGATATCTTTCATCAGCTGACACATTCATGATGGAGAAGGAAAAATACCTTCTTTCCAGCATGGGTGTAGGTGAGGCTTGCTTCTGGCATTGTACCAAATCAGTTGCCGGCAGCCATCATAAGCACAGGAATACTCATCATCCCCAATGCCGTAGCCTTCCTGGAAAGAGCAAGAGAGGGTGGTGAGCAAGGCACAGCTGTCCGGATCAGGGAAGAGAAGTGGCCTGGAATTTCCAGCTTCTGGATGGAGGGAAAGACTATGGCTCTTAGGAGATACTAAAATTATGACCTAGTGGCCTGTGAAGAGACAATGACTTCACCAACAAGTATTTGCCAAGAGCCTCTTTTGTTGCAGGCACTTTCACATGGGCTTATTTATTTACTTCTCACCAGAACCATGACTTGGGTAGCAATCTGTTCTATTTTAAGAGGGATCAAAGGTTTGGAGAGTTTGGTGAGTGAGTCCAAGAACACAATAATAAAACATGACAGGGTTTGGACCTAAATTCTTCTAACTCCAAAGTTGGGACATACCCTACTTTTCCAATTATAGCCAGGCAAGAATCCTTGTACTAGAAGACTTTAAAATACCTAAATGCTTAGCAATTTCAAGGGAAAGGTGATAGTGAACAACCTGCTGAAAGCTATTTGGAGATCAGTTCAATTTGAGCATCATACAGAAATCCCTGGCAATTTCTTCTTTTACTATTTACTGTTTTTCAGCTATTTCACAGAACTGTTAAAAGGGCAGTGGGTTTTAAAGAAATTCAGTGCTTAAACATAGAAGAAACAGGAGAAGCACACAAATCAGACAATTTATTCCCAGTCCTTTTTTCTACTAAAACTGTTAATCAATGATAAAATGTTTTAGTGAAGATGGGGATTAAGAATTCCGGCCAAATCCAAGTATGACCTCAGGCGCTGATGGCATGCATTATTTTATAGGGAAAACAATGCAGTGAGGAAATAGGCTGAGAAAAATTTTCTGAAAATATACCAAACTCTTAAACTACAATATAACTAAACCTGGAAGGATGGGTATGCCCCAAAGAGACACTTCTTTATCAGCTGTTACCATGCACTATTCAGATTAGTCAAGAGTTAAATGGATTTGCATCTAACTGAATTTAGGAAGAGAAGAAATTCATTAGTCTGCCATTCCTTTTGAAAACGGATTAAGAAAAAACTTAGAAACCACTAAGATTTGAGAGTTGAAGCAGACAACAAAACAGGCAATTCTTTTCTGGTTCCACTTTCTGATCTTCTAGGCAGTCTCTGATAAGGACATTTGAAAGAAGTTCCTAGAAGTTTGCAAGAGTGGTCTAGCCATTGTTGTGCAATGTCCTCTGTGTCTGGATAAATTTTATGACAGAGTGAGACACCAGAGAATTCCAGGTGTTTAACCACAGATCTGCTTCTACAGATCAAAGCAGCACGTGTCTTGGTCTAGCCGAGATGTGTTTCCATCCCAAACAGCTACACCTTCTTAAAAAACATGCGCTCCTTGATTAACTTTGGTTTCCACTGGCTGGGACAGATAAACAAGAGAATATGGTAATTACCTGGCATTTTGAGCTGTCTATTCTGTGGTCATGTATGAGAGTACTTCAAAAAATTCATTTTTTTAATTATTAAAAAAACACTATGAATAGATTTAATTTTGGGGGAAGGCACTAAAACAAGCTTGCAACTCCATTTTCTATGAACTCTGAAGTGAACCTTGTATATTTTAGTGATGGAAATATTACTATAAATGAACGAAAAACATTTAGCCATAGTTTGGCATTTTCTGAACACCTTTCCTGTGTGATGGATACTCTGCTCTCTCCTGCTGTCTTGCATTCCCCATGCCTTCCTGTTATGGGGGAATGTCGTGATTACAGCGTTCTGCTTCCTGCCCTGAAAGTGACGGGGAAGACAGCTTAGGTTAAGTCGAGTTTGCCTTCCTAACAGATGCTCAGTGCAGCAAGTTAAGTAACTCCAAATGGAGGGATGGTTATGAGTGGCTCATGGCATGATGTTGCCTGCATCTCAGGCAGATCAATATCCTAAAGCTGGGGCTGCTGTACTTCCTAACACTTGATTCTAATGTCTTTTAACCTGTCTAGTTCCCAAAAGTCTAAACAGTTTGGGGACCTGTGACAGGTTTCCGAAGTCACTCCTTTTCTGTTTGACAATCAGAATAGATTTCTGTAAAGCAGAATGCTTCAACATGAGTTATCCTGAGCAAAGTCTGAAATTTTCTCCAGTCATTTGAGGTGAGGTGGGAAAAATTAATGTGAATTTAAAACTCAGGAGGAAAAAAAAGCCCAAAGGGCAGTTTCATTTGTATTTTTCTAATTCTGAATCAATTTAATAAATCATTGTTAGGGATGTGGTACTGTTTGATTCAGTTTAAGAAAAGACTCTTGAATAAATCTATTTGAAAAATTTGAAAAAAAGCATCTTCTACCCTCCCACCAGTAAGAAATGAGGAAGGCACTGTTGCTGCCGCCATCTGCACAGCTCTCTAAGATACTCACATGATTGAGAAATTTGCTGTCTCGTGTGGCCCAGCCAATCTGCATGACGCCAGAAGTGACCACCGTTACTTCATAGTACCATACCCCAGCATCCACACAAAAGGTGCAACGTACACTTTCAAAAGAAGAAGCATCACAGCGAGCCTGGCAAAACCAGAATGACAATTTACCATCCGTGCCTACTGACCACTGAGGGGAAAAGCTCCCGGGGGGCTGAAAGTATCTTTCATTATTAGAACTTGTGGTGGACAGTTGTCTCTTCTGTAGTCCATCCTCAGCGACAAGAAACATAAAGCCCAATGGAGTACACTCTAGAACTGTTTCATTATTTTATTCCTAGGGAGTGCTAATTGCGTTGGTGCTAAGCTTAGAAGACCTCTAAGACAACAGCAGGAAAGCTATTAACTTCATTCTTAGAGTTCTATTATCATATTAGAGCATTTTACAAATGCATAAACATTGCCTAGCCAGAAGTATCTTAATCTACAGAAGAGAATGACAAAAGGGATTTGACAAAACAGAAGCTCACAGAACCAGTTGCAGTCAGGCTTGAAACAATTCCTCATCCCTGACATGTCCCACCTTGTAGTAACTTCCTATGCATAAGTAGCTCTTTTACCAATCTTCACCACAATGTGTGAAACATTTCTAATAGCCAGGGAGACGAGGAAGCACCAGATTTAACACACTTAGCTATGCAGGGATTAAAATAAGAAAGGGTCCTGTTTTGTATCTAGCTGAATAAATAGGCAGAGATTAAAAATAGACATGTTAAAACTAACCAGTAAATACTAGCGTGCTTACAACAGGTAAGTAGCATGTGAGATAAAGAGGAGATAATAATGTTTTAAACCACTCTTTCCTACCAAGCTCTATTCTCTATGAAAGAAATTTGCTTCTATCCTGAAAGACACTGCTTTTGTTCAGAAGCAGTGCATGCACATGAAAGTAAAATAATTTTACACCCCACCCCTGTAATTCCATATTTGCAAGCTTTACCTCCAAGCCATGAGGTGAGATCTTTAGGTACTCGCTGACATCATTGCTATTCAGCATGGCACTGATGCTACTCAAGTCCACTTTTTCATAGGTCAGCTGCCTACCTTCTTTTAAAACTGCAAGAGAAAAAGTGGCATGTTTCTAAGGCAGGCTGCTGGGGGAAAAAACATAAAAGCTATAGCCATCTCCACATGTCATCATAGTCCAGAAATGGAAGCGTTAATAGCTAGTGGGATGGGGGGGGGCAGGGAACTTAGAACTTTAGCCTTTACTGCTACGTTACCCTGAGGACTGATCAAGCAAATACTGTGGAGAGTAGCCCTGCAGACTGAAGCTTCCATTCTCTACTACTTTACGCGAAACAACATCCAAATTGTACCTTGTGAATTACTTTTTAACTACGCAGGCTAAGCTCCTCCCTACAATGTCGGGGTAGGCATGAGGATGTCCACCTGTAAGCCTGGTGCTTACTATAGGAGAGGGAGGATCCAGAAGTAATACAGCTTTTATTCAAGCAGCGCCTGGGGAAGCAAAAGGAAATCCAGGAGCAATCTTTGTGGTGTAAGTCAGATATAAACTTGGCTTTGAAGAACAAAGTTGGAACAGGGAAAACAGCAAAGATGGAATTCCAAATAAAGAAAGATGCCCAGAAGTGTGATTCATCTGGACTTGTTTGTAGGACAAATATTGTTTGAGGAAACAGTTTCTATTGGGACTATTTGACTAGAAAGTATCATATAGTTAAGGGCCTTGGCAGCAAGAAATATGGTGCCATTTATCTTTTTGTTTCTTGAACACAAAGAATGATAAAATCAGAAGCAGTTCATTCAATTGTTAGTAAGATCTTGTAGGTACTTTTCTGCTAGAATACTTACTGTCCAGAATCTTAAATTTTAACAAAGGATAGCTCTCACTTACAGAGATTGTCTAAACTCCACTGGGCACAGAAACCAACTTGACGTTTCAGATAATCAGGATCATCAGCCCACGACTCCAGCGTGACAAGCCGATCACTAATACTGGATTCAGAGATAGTCAATTTATTTTCACCTGTTTGGAAAGACAAACTCTTGAGTTACTAGTGAAAGCATAAGGGATGGCTTGTTGAGCAAATTAGTGGCAGAAAGGAGTAAGGAGAGGCAACTGGAGAATATGGAGACTGGAATGGGCCTCCATTAAAGTTTCCAGGGGAGATGCAGTTTTGACTCTTTTCTAGAAACTAACAGTCTTGTTAATAAATTTTCAGCTGTAAACAGTGAGTAATTATGGTCACTAAGTTTTGATTCACAGGTTGGAGAATCCGGTCTCTGCTACACTTTACTGAACTTGAAGGGTCCACCCAGAAACAAACATAACATATGCCAATTTTGTGGGGTTCATGCAGGAACACAGCAGACCAAGATGCTCAATACTCAATACAGAAGATCACTAGTACAAGAAGTGCTCACTATATACCTACTTGTCTGTGCAAACTTTTCCAGTGCGATAAGTGCAAAAAGCATGACTGTGGGGTGGGACTGTAACTTCTGAAAGACAATAAAACATTAAAGAAAATCATTCCCCTGAGAAATAACAAGTTACCAATTTCTTTTCTTTTTTAAGATTTAGTTATCTAAAAGAGCTATAGAGAGGGAGAGACAGAAAGAGAGACATTTTTCAATCACTGATTCACTGCTGTAATTTCCAGAGCTGGGAGCTGGGCTGGTTGGAAGCCAGGAGCTTCTGCCTGGTCTCCCATGTAAGTGCAGGAGTCTAAGCACTTGAGTCACCCTCTACTGCTTTCCCAGGCCTTTCGCAGGGTGCTGATAGGAAGTGGAGCAGCTGGGATGGGACTTTATAACTGGTTCCTATATAGGATGCTAGTGCCACAGACAGTAGCTTAACAGGCTATGCCACAGCACCAACCCAAAGGTATCAACTTCACATTCTTGCCCACTAAGTGCTAGGTATTTTTTTGTATCAGAAATGTTTCATCCATTCAAGTCGTGAATTATCCATTGGTTGTTTTCAGTAATGAAGAACTAACACACAACTTTTAAATCCTACATATTTTACTTGAAGTCACTGAGTTAATTTACAGATTTATCTTATTCAATGCATTATTTTTCTTACTACTGTCTACATAAGGACCTGTTAAATAACATTGAGTCATACATTCATTTAAGCAGGCCAAACAGAAACCCAAAGTATAGCTAAAAGTGACCTTTTGTTCAGAACCCTAGAAAGAACTATTCATCACTATCAAATTCTAAAATAATAAATAATGAAATTAACAACCAATAGTTTAGCTTTTTAATCTGTTCTATGAATGGAATTCTACAAATGCTGATGGCAGGCAAGTTACATTTAAGCTCATGTTCCATGAGCTTGTGGGTTTTTTTTGTTTTTGTTTTTAAGATTTATTTTATTTTTATTGGAAAGGCAGATATACAGAGAGGAGGAGAGACAGAGAGGAAGATCTTCCGTCCAATGACTCACTCCCCAAGTGAGCGCAACGGCCGATGCTATGCCGATCCAAAGCCAGGATCCAGGAACTTCTTCCGGGTCTCCCACACGGGTGCAGGGTCCCAAAGCTTTGGGCCGACCTCAACTACTTTCCCAGGCCACAGGCAGGGAGCTGGGTGGGAAGCGGGGCTGCCGGGATTAGAACCGGCGCCCATATGGGATCCCGGGCATGCAAGGTGAGGACCTTAACCACTGTGCCATCGCGCTGGGCCTGTGAGCTTGTGTTTTAAAGGGTTAATTTGTTTAATATCACATCTTTCCACAGCTATCAAGATAGGAGTCTCCAGCGAAATCTCCAGCCTGGCAGATAATTCCCACTCAAGGCCCTGGTGCCCAAATTCTGCAAGTCTTACTTAGCCACTACCCTTCCCTACTGCAAAGCCTCTCCTTTCTTTTCCTTTTTAAAAAACTTATTTATTTTTATGTGAAAGGTAGATTTACTGAGAGAGAAGAAGAGACAGAGAGAGGTCTTCCACTGGCTGGTTCATGCCCCAAATGGCTGCAGTGGCTGGAGCTGAACCTGTGTGAAGCCATGAACTTCTTCCGGGTCTTCTATGTGGGTACAGAGGCCCAAGGCTTTGGATCATCCTCTGCTATTTTCTCAGGCCATAAGTACAGAGTTGGATCAGGAAATGGAGCAGACAGGACACGAATCAGCACCCATATAAGATGCTGGTGCCACAGGTAAAGGGTTAGCGTGTTAGGCCACTGCATCGGCCCTACAAAGCCTTTTTAGCACTCCTGCTGTATCCATTCTCTATTCCACTTGGGGGATTTGGAGGCCTGAGCCCTCTCAGTCCAATTACCCAAAATCTGTTCTCTACCTCAGAGCACTGACTTCTCTAAGCAGTCTGGCTGTGGGCTCCTGCCTTGGATGCTTCCTTAAGACACCTGCTTTCCTCTTTTCTGGGCACACTACATCCTAACTTTGGGGCACTACCCAGCTGAGCTCTGGCCTCCCACAAAAAGTCTGTCTCTTATGATAAACTCCAGCTCTCACCTCCCATATTGCTACTTCCCTCACCTCCTCACCTTTTTTTTTTTTAAGATTTATTTATTTGTATTGGAAAGGCAGATCAGATTTACAGAGAGAAGGAGAGAAAGGAGAAAGATCTTTCATCCACTCCCCAAATGGCTGCAACAGCCAGAGCTGAGTGATCCAAAACCAGGAGCCAGGAGTTTCTTCCAAGTCTCCCACATGGGTGCAGGGTCCCAAGGCTTTGGGTCGTCCTTGACTGCTTTCCCAGGCCACAAGCAGAGAGCTGGATGGGAAGTGGAGCAGCCAGGACACATACCATCACACATATGGGATACTGGTGCATGCAAGGTGAGAATTTTAACCACTAGGCTACCATGCTGGGCCCCACCTCCTCACTCTTACAGCAGGTTATTTTGCTCTTGATCTTACCCCATCCTAACTGTTCTGTCTGAACATGGTTTTGCTTCTTTAACTAGCAAGTCAGCCTCTTGAAGGCAAAGGCCTACTACTTCTGCATCCCCAGAGTGCCCAGTCAGAGGAGCTGAGGAGTTTGAAGCTTATAACATGTGAATACTGACAATCTCTTCTTGTAGATTGGAATTTTGGAAAAGACAGCATTCACTGGGCTTGTAAAAAAACTTAAAAATACAGACTAGTTAAGACTGCAGACTCACACTGGGAAATATGTGTAAGCACAATGTCAGCGTCACCGACAATACATCAGATGCTCCAATGACAATTTTAAGAGCAGCAGGCATGGGGGAGGATGGGGAGGAGTACAAACTTAAATAAATACTGAACTGATGTTAGAATGTCAAGTAATTTTCTTCCCACTTGTAGAGGTCCCTATTACTGTTTCATAGACTCTAAGGACACATAAAATAGTCAATCATAGTAGCTATCTTAGGACTAACTTTGAAATCAGACCAACTCAGCTGTTTTTGCTTGCAATAAATTCGTATCTCACCCACTCTCCCTTAACACACAAGGAATAAATACTCAGGAAACACCTGCAAATAGAATTTACAACAGATTCCATTTTCTGTACCAGTGACTATTCTAGCAATTTGCACAGTAAAAAAAAAAAAGAAAAGAAAAGAAAAGCACAATTCCAAATGATTAAGAATAACTGATTTTGATGTCTAACTTACCAGACACTGTAGCAAATATTCCAGTATTCCTGGGCTAAGTAAACCTATACTTGCAGGACCTAGACAAATACAATACACATCAGATATTAATAAAAGTACATATGCTTCGTACCTTGTAAACATTTGATTAACATGTAATATTTAGACAGTTTATGAGCTGCAACGCTCATATTCAGTATAAGCTGACCAAATCAAGTAACTAGTCTATTTCCTTGTCTTTTTTTAGTGTTAGCACCGTTTGGCTTCTCTCTTCCTGCTCTATGTACAACACATAATACACAATTGTGAATTGTAGTCAGCTCCCTGTGCTGTGTAACACTAGTACCTACTGCTTCTACCTGTATTTTGCTTCCCATTATTCAACCTCCCTTTGTTCCCTCTTCTGCCATCGCTTCCATAGTTTAAAAAATGTCCACTTGAAGGGCCCAGCGCAATAGCACAGTGGCTGAAGTCCTTGCCTTGCACGTGCCGGGATCCCACCAGTTCTAATCCTGGTGGCCCTGCTTCCCATCCAGCTCCCTGCTTGTGGCCTAGGAAAGCAGTCGAGGATGGCCCAAAGCCTTGGGATCCTGCACCCATGTGGGAAACCTAGAAGAAGTGCCTGGTTCCTGGCTTTGGATTGGCTCAGCTCCAGCCATTGTGGCCACTTGGGAGTGAACCATTGGACGGAAGATCTTCCTCTCTGTCTCTCCTCCTCTCTGTATATTTGCCTTTCCAATAAAAATAAATAAAATATTTTAAAAATATATTTTGGGGGCAGCACAATGGCAAATAAGACTTATCTTTCGCCTGCAGTGCCAGCCACCAAAAAGGAGCTGGTTCATGGCATGAGTACTCCACTTCCAAACCATTTCCAAACCAGCTTCATGCTTATGGCCTGAGAAAGCAGTGGAGAATGGCCCAAGTCCTTGGGTCTTGCACCCATATGGGAGACCCAGAGGAAGCTCCTGGCTTTGGATCAAATCCGCTCTGGCTGTTGTAGTCATTTGAGAAGTGAACCAGCAGGTGGAAGACTTCTCTGTCTAACCTTCTCTCTCCATAAAAGTTGCCTTTCAGATAAAAATAAAACTTAGAAAAAAATTTCCACATGAGTGAGAACTTAATCTTATGTATCTTTTTGTGTCTAGCTTATTTCAATTTATGACCTCCATTTCCATCCATTTTACTACAAATGTCAGAATTTCATTTTTTATGCCATATTATTTTGAATCCGTAAACAATGAAAATCAAATTGTTTGGTCGAGCTGCTTACTTTTTACAGAGCACTCTCATGCACAGCACCTTACTCAAGCCTCCTAAAGGAAGGCATGGTACTTCATTTCAGCTGAGCAGCTGAGCCTACGGAGTGAAGGAACCATTTCCAAAACAGTGAGGGGCACATGGCAAGGTCGGCCCCAGGACTCACATGGCCTGATTTTGAATCCACTGATCTTTTACTATCCATGAAATGAACAAGCTGAACTACTCATCTGCACTTTGCCTTAACTGCCCTTAAATGGGTAATACTAAAAAAAAACCAAACAAAACCCTTAAATAATAGTTTCTCAGGAATTGCTCCAGAATAAAGTTCGCTTTCCTCTTCTATGTGGCACATTTTTTTTTATTATCCCGCTGAATTAAAACAAATTTTATTTTTATTCGAAAGTCAGATTCTCAGACAGAAAGCTCTTCTGTCCAGTGATTCACTTTCTAGTGGCTGCAACGGTCAGAGCTGAGGCGATCTGAATCCAGGAGCCAAGAGTTTCTTCTAGGTCTCCCATGAGGGCACAAGGTCCCCACAAGGACAGCCTTGGGCTGTCCTTGACTGCTTTCCCAGGCCACAAGCAGGGAGCTGGATGGAAAGTAGAGCAGCCAGGACAGGACCTGGTGCCCATATCAGATCCTGGTGCATGCAAGGTGAGGACTTTAGCCACTAGGCTACCATGCTGGGTCCTATCCAGATAAATTTTATAAAATTTTTATATATGTGTTTATATGGATATATACACAAATATATATGATAATTTATATATATGCTAACATATGATAATATACATACATCATCTTTGTTATATTGTTTAAGCTTTTCTCATTCTTTTTAATTAAAGAGCAAATAGGTATAACTGTATTTCTTTTTAAAAAAAAAATAGTTATTTTTATCGCAAAGTCAGATCTACAGATAGGAGGAGAGACAGAGAGGAAGATCTTCTGTCTGATGATTCACTTCCCAAGTGAGTACAATGGCTGGTGCTGTGCCGATCCAAAGCCAGGATCCAGGAACTTCCTCCACGTCTTCCACACAGGTGCAGGATCCCAAGGCTTTGGGCCGTCCTCGACTGCTTTCCCTGGCCACAAGCAGGGAGCTGGATGGGAAGTGGAGCTGCCGGGATTAGAACCGGCGCCTATATGGGATCCTGGTGTGTTCAACATGAGGACTTTAGCCGCTAGGCCACCGTGCTGGGCCCAACTGTGTTTCTTTTAAATTTCCCTCTGAAAATCCACAAAACTAAATGGATTTTATTTACCTCTATGACCTCTGAGTAATTTTCATCAATCCATTTTTTTTTTAATTTTTAATATTTATTTTTGGGACAGTAGGTTTAACAAAAGACCTACACTGAAACGTCCCCTGTATGTTAAACATTGGAAAGATCTTCCCTCTGTAGAGCCTCTCAGTTACCTGCTAGTTTCTCAGCCAAGCATCCTAGGACCGCAGAAGTGTTTCTGTGTTTGGCAGGATGGCCCGAGTCCTGGCAAGCCACATCACCATTCAAATTGAGAATTTCGGTTAATTTCTGGAGTGCATCCTAAAACCAGAAGTGCAAAAGTAGATTTGATATATACACTGCTCACACTATTTCCTCAAAATGACTTTTTAAGATAAAAGCTATGACCAGGTATTAAATAAATAGAATGACCATACAAAAATTGCATTATCTAGTCCAATAATATCAATACTGAGGGAAAATATTATTTGATGCACAGAAGTTTTTTTTCATAGGAACTGTTACATTCCATTTCATTTAAAAAATACCACTTGTATCAAACTTATGCTATATACTATTTAGAATGTTACAGACTAAACCAATCCAAAAACCAACAAGATTGGTAACATTAGGCCCAGTGGTAGTGAAGTTATGTAAGACACATTCTTGCAGGCAAGAATAAATGCCACTGAAGTTTCCAAGGCAAATTAAACAGAAACCCCTTACAAGCCCAGGCAAAGGTCAATTCATCAGTGACAAGGCTGAAGATTTTCCATTTCCTGGTCAGTTTTCCCATACTGAACCTAAATGTCTAAGGTTGAAAAAGACAAATGAAAGGGGTCCGAATTCAGCAAGAAAAACGACAAAAAGCAATTTATAGGCCATACTGAATAAAGCAATACAAGTTTAGTACGTTTGTTTATAAGAGGGATAATCAAGGTTGCACTAATCCTTAATGAAGTTGAATAAGACTCAAAGTACTTTAGAGAAATCAGCTTTTTTTTTTCTCTTACTAGAAACATTTCGCTATGAGGAAGTTGCTCAAAGAAAATCAGCTCAGCATCTGAACATTCCCTTCCAGTTTCTGAACAAAGATAAAATCAGACAAAATTTGAATAGAAATGTTTTCAACATTTAAAAAATTTAAAACTAAGCTATTAGTTATTAATAGAGAATATAGCACATCATTAATAACAAAAAGGCAAATTTATATAATGAAAACAATTTTGGAAAAAAAGACCCAGAACCTAAACGTATTAAGAGGAAATGTATGATACCAAGCGTTGTTTGTGGTCACTCATCTTGGGCTTAAGCACAAATGACAGTTTCTTAAAAGAGGAGTGTTCCCTTACTTTAGTGGGTAGTGGACATTCATCCAGTAGCAATGTTATAACAGCTGGTCCCAGTGGATCTTCCAATGGAATAACTCTAATTAAAGACTGGACTACATCCAACCATCCTTCATCTAAAAGGAAGTCAAGAAGATTATATAATAGTAACTATTTTAAAAATGTGAAAACACATAACTTATAAAGTCAGTCTAAGATACTTCACATTAAAATCAAAACACTTCGATCTTCATCCCATAGCCTTTAAAAGGTACTATTTGGCATGAACATGTTTTGTTATGTTTAGTATTTGGCATGATTAAAATAGTGTTAAGTATATCTTACTACATATGACACAGGAATTAACTTGAGAAAATGGGATACTTAGAAAATTGAGGGAGAAAAAAAATACCTTTTTTCATTTTTAAAACAGTTATGGTTCCAGATGTGCCTATATTGAAAGCAAGAAAGGAAGGAAAGAAGGGAGGGAGGGAGGAAGAAACCTAACCTTTTCCCTTAACTTTAGATGAGATTATCTACCACTGAGAGGTGTAGCTATGTAATCATGGCACAATACATAGTGCCTACTACTGTGTAGTGGACTGGATAACTTGTACAAGGTAACTTTCATATACAAAGGGCTTTTTTCTTTCTTGTGCATGCTAAATAGTTATAGAAATTTTATCTCAAAACAAACAAGAAAAGATGGACACTTTCCTTTACTATTGTAAGAAAAGTTACTATTGTTTGTATGTGTTTCCCAAAGGTTCAAGGCCTTAAAGTTTGGAACCCAATGTGGTGGTATTAAGCTGGTAGGGCCCATGAAATGCGAAAGTGTTGAGGTCATCAGGAATGCCACCACTGAAAGTAGCTCACGAGTCTGGACTGCTAAAAAAAAGAGCAAGCCTGAACCCTGAATCTCTACTCACTTCCTGTTTAACCATATCCTTCGTTCTGCATATCACCATTTCCCCATTCTGCTTCTCTGTATCATGCTATCACACAGCTAGAGGGACTTTACCAGGAGCCAGACAGAGGGAGCTGCCAGATCTTGGACTCTGAGCCATCAAAAGAGTGAGCTAAAGAAATCTCTTTTTATTTTTAAAATACCCAGCCTCAGATATCTTGTTATAGCAGTAGAAAACACTAATGCAGAAGTATTAAAAACAAAACTTTAAAAAATACCTGTTTCTGCCATTTCATGTAATGTAATCATTGAATAGGGAGGTTCCTGATCACTGAAAAACAAATATTCAAGACATTAAACTCTAGGAAATAATGAACAATCCTTAAAATCAGAAACAAAAACAAAAACAAAGAAATAAGTAAGCAAAAAACCCAAACTGGAAGTGTAAGAGAAAGAAGAAATGACTATGAATGTATGCAAGAGAATAGATGGAAGAAAACAACCAGAGTTAGAACCTGTAAGGACAAATAAACATAGAGGATGTATAAATGTTCAGTCACTGCCTTTAATGGCTCACGCACAAAGTGGGCAGAAAGGCACATGTAAGGACCAATAAGTGGCCTGCAGTAAAGCTCAGAACACTAACACTAGAGACCAAAACCCACTCTCTCAGCTTTGCTCACCATCTTCTCACACTTAGCTCCAAGAAATGCCATGATAGAAGACAATTCCAACACAAAATTAGAGAAACAAAAACCTACTTAGACATCTTTATTTTAAAGGTTTCTTCTGGGAACTATTATTGCACATTTAAAATTCATAAAATGACAGAAGAAAAATAGACCAAATTTAATCAAGGAAGAATCTAACATTCCAGGTACTATTCAAACATGACATTTTATGCCCTGGTTCAGTGGGTTTTCAAAATCTGATCCCAGAAATCCTAAGGAGGTATTTAGGAAAATTACAATTATAAAATTTTTTCCATGACCAACGATAGCTCTAATTGTTAAAGGACTCAGTATTCACAGATTTACATAATGTGGATCGGTTTTCCTGTGAAAAGAAATCATTAAAATTATTGTTTTAAGTCATTTAACCTTCAGAATAACCTTGTGGTATGGAGAATGCTGACTGACATCTGGCACCTTTTCATAACAAAGGGAAATTATTATCTAAAAGAAAATTTGAAAACAATATAATTGTCTGACATAAATTTTTCTGGTAGCTATCTAGCAGCAAAGAAAATGAAGCATGCATTTACACAATGATGCTACAGAAACTTTCACGTAGGTCAACAAATACATGCCTGTGGTTGCTCTTCACTGCAAAGCTCTCTGTAGGAACAAAAATTAGGTTGCACTAAGTGACCATCAATGAATGAAAGATAACAACATCAAGCACACAAAGGGACAATGAAATAGTAATTGTAGATTTACATATAGCAATACATGTCTTACACATAATGTTGACAGAGGTTAAAAACAGAGGATTAAATTTTTGAGATTTATTTATTTGAAAGGGAGAGAGAGAGAGAGAGAGAGAGCGCTTTAACTTCCATCTTCTGTTTTACTCCTCAAATGTCTGCAGCAGTTGAGGCTGGGACTGGCTGAAGCCAGAAGCCAGAAATTCAGTCCAGTTCCCCGACGTGGGTGGCGAGTACCCGACTGCTTGAGTCATCACCGTCATCACTGCCGCCTCCCGGGGAGGGAAGTTGGAAATAGGAGCACAGCCAGCACTTGAACACAGGCCAGTTAGATACATTCTTAAAACCACACACAAAATTGTCCATATAAATATTTTCCCCTACATAAATAAATGTTAGACAGTTTGGTTGAATTTTCTTAAACTGACTAAATTTGTAATTTATTATTATTATCTTAGAGGGAGGAAAAGGGGATAAAGGGAGAAAAGAAATAAAATGCAATGAAGAATCTGTGAGGAACAGGAGTACCTCAGTTTTATACACACATATCCCTCTTCTCAAAGAACAAGATAAACTCCTTTGTTGATCAGAGACAGAGCAGAAATTGCCAGTGAGGGGTTGATGCTAAAGCCATAGGACTTTACTGGGCTACGTATGGTGAGGAACTGAGATCCCCCTAGGCCTGCAGACTAATGAAGGACAAACCCACTGTGGAAAGGGTAGGGCAGAATAACAAATGAAGCTGGAGGCAGGGTTCCCCTATTATGGAAAGAAGCTGAAAAATGCTATGAATGATAACCTGAACTGCAGGACAGAAAGCTGTAAGATGTCACTGATGCAAAAGAGGTGAACAAAGTTATGCAACGGAACCTGAGCTTCTCAGAGTGGAATGGGAACTCAGAGTCACCAATTCTCATTTTAGCTTCAGTCACAAACTGAGGGTCTCTGGGACAGAAAACAGCGCAAGTGGCAGAGAGAAGGGGAGAGAGAGAACTCAGGTAAATGTGAGGGAAAAAGTATCAAAAAGAGTCAGAATATTAAATTCCCAAGATATGAAAATAACTAAGGGATGTTATGATGGCTCAACTGGCAATCCTTGCCCTGCAAGTGCCAGGATTCCATATGGGCACTGTTTCATGTCTCAGCTCTCCACTTGTGGCTTGGGAAAGCAATGGAAGATGATGGCCCAAGGCCTTGGTCTCCTGCACCTGTAGGGAAGACCAAGAAGAAACTCCTAGCTCATGGCTTCAGATTTGGGGAGTGAACCAGCAGATGGAAGATTCTTCCTTTTCTCTGTAAATATGCCTTTCAAAGTAAAAAAAAAAAAAAAAAAACCTAAACCAGTAACAATCTAAGGATAAAGTCACTACCAAAAATATGCATATAATAGATCTTCAGAATGATTTAAACATATGTTAACATTAAGGAAGAACTGTTAGAAACAAAATTAGAAATCCTAGAAATGAAATATATTTACTGAAAGAAAAACCTCAACAGATTGTATAACTCCAGATGTGCCAGAAAGAAAATTCTTAATGAATTCTTAATGAATTCTTAAAAGAAAATGTTGAGGAATTCACTCAGAACCCAGTGAGAACAATATTCAAGGAGATAATGGCTAGAAAAATTTCCAGAACTGAAGAATGTGGTCATTAGAAGCATATAGGATTAAAATTATATAATGAGAATGACAAAAAATAAAAACAGAAAAACTTGGCTTAGATCAAGAGAAAACAAAACTGGATAATGAGGCATGGCACAATTGGGCAATTTATTTCAGAACGGCATCAAGGGAGACCAGACAGCAACACCAGGAATTTCATTTAGATAAATTCTTACCAAGCCAAATTGTCTTATCTTTCATGTTTGGTTCTAACAGCCCTATAAACTACATTGGTAATAAAATTCTCCTTCGATATCTTCTAAAGGACAAGCTATATGACCATGTTTACCAACTGTCTGGATTGTGCTGTCCCATTATCTTCTCAAACACATCCAATAATGCAGTCTCCACATCTGCCTTATTATTTTTTTTTTTTTGTTCTCAGAAAGGTGATATTTACAATCCAATAAAAACAGGTAAGGTAAAAATGATCCTGCTATTTAAATGTGCACCATTTTCCTCATGTGAGTTTATGAGTTTTATCAACAGGATCACTTCTCATTTTCAATATTTCGTTAAAACTTGGAAGTAAGGCTCCCACCTTGCTCCCATGTATTCCACTGATCACTGTCTCTTAAAATATGTCAAACTTTACTCTTCATCTATTTTCCCCAAGGCGTAAATGAAAATTGTGATTTACTTTCTTATTTGGGAAGGGTAACTTTTCATTACAGTTTTATAGTACAGTGAAAATGTTTTTCAAAAAGTGTAATTCTTGAAGGCGAGCAAATATATGCCAATAGTTTGTAAATTTAAGGACATATTTTGTAAAACAGGGATGTCCTGTTGTATGCTAAAATTTCTGAGGAGCTAAAAAAGCTATCTTTAAAATTATGTTTTAAATCTACTTATTTGGGGCCTGGTGGCATGGCCTAGTGGCTAAAGTCCTTGCCTTGAACATAACAGGATCCTATATGGGTGCCAGTTCTAATCCCAGCAGCTCCACTTCCCATCCAGTTCCCTGCCTGCAAAAGCAGTTGAGGACGACCCAATGCTTTGGAATCCTGCTCCTGTGTGGGAGACCTGGAGGAAATTCCTGGCTCCTGGCTCCAGATCAGCATAGCACCAGGCCGTTGCGCTCACATGGGGAGTGAATCATCGGACGGGAGATCTTCTTCTCTGTATCTCCTCCTCTCTGTATATCAGACTTTGCAATAAAAATAAATAAATCTGTAAAAATTTTTTTACTTATTTGAAAGGTAGAGAGAACTCCCATCTGCCAGTTCATTCCCCAAACATTGGCCAGGGCTAGTCCAAGTCCAAAGTCAGAAGCTAGGAACATCACCCAGTTTTCCATATGGGCAAAAGCATTTCTGTTAGTTCAGCCACCATTGCTGCCTGCAAGGGACCATACCAGCAGGAAGCTGGAGGTCAAGATTCACAACTAAGCGCTCCGATGTGGGACACAGGCATTTAAATTGTGAGGCTAAATGCCTCAAAAATTAAAATTTTATACATTTGACTATCAAGTATTTACATACTAATAGTGTGTGATGCAATTAGATGATTTAGCTCATCATCTCCTGAGAAGCTTTATAAGAAAAGTACTGCTCCCAGGCCTGGCGGTGTTGCTGAAGTACTCGCCTTGAACGCGCCAGGATCCCATATGGTCACCAGTTCTAATCCTGGTGACCCTGCTTCCCATCCAGCTCCCTGCTTGTGGCCTGGGAAAGCAGTCGGGGACGGCTCAATGCTTTGGGATCCTGCGCCTGTGTGGGAGACTTGGAGGAAGTTCCTGGCTCCTGGCTTCTGGCTTCTGGCTCTGGATTGGCTCAGCACCAGCTGTTGCGCTCATTTGGGGAGTAAATCATCGGACAGAAGATCTTCCTCTCTATCTCTCCTCCTCTTTGTATATCTGACTTTGTAATAAAAATAAATAAATCTTAAAAAAAGAAAAAAAAAGTACCGCTCCCTATTTTGAGATGAGGAATCTGGGGCTTCTGGAAGAACTTAACCAATGACCAATGTCATGTGGCCAGTAAAGGGCTGGGCCAGAATTTGAACCTAAGCCCATCATGGGACTAAAATATGTACTCTTCATTATTGAATTACATGCAAAACCATAAGTAAGAATTTGTTTTTCAACTTGAACAATGTCCTTAATTTCACTGTTATTCAATCTGGGATTTTCTACTTAAAAGTTAGACAAAACAAGAAAAGATGACAAAACAGGTACAGGTGTGCCCTGTTGTTTTAGCTTACAAACTTCCCAGACGGATCAGAGAGGGTCAAATAAAGGATGTAAAAAGAGGAGAAAGATGGAAAATCTCCTAGTCTTTCTTTACAAACAGAAGTTGCATGCAGCCATGCGCTTGGCCAAAAACCTCGTGAATCTCCAGTCAGTGGGTCAGATTGGCAAGCACAACAGTGAGTCTTCGTGAAATCCTTTTTTTTTGTAGCTAGTTAGCAACACTACTCCATACTTACTATTTTTTCTCATGGACAGCTTAGGGTTTTTTTTTATTATTATTTGTTTGTTTGCTTGCTTGTTTTGAAAGGCGGGGACAGAGTAGTTCCCATCCAATAGTTTACATCTCAAAATGCTCACAGCATGTGGGTCTGGATGAGGCCAAAGCCAGGAATTCAGTTCAGGTCTTGTATTTGGGTCCAGGGACCTGACCACTTAAACCATTATCTGCTACCTTTCCTAGCCACCCCACACTTGCCCTTTTCTGCACTGGCAGAAAATCGGGATCAGGAATTAGATAGAGCTGGGACTCAGACACAAAGACTCCGAATCCAAGGCTCTGAAATGGGATGCTGGTATCCTGACAGCTTAACCAGTAGGTCAAACATCCACCCCAAGATGACAGCTTTCATTAGTACTTTCTGTTACAGAAATGATTTGACATTTCCAGATAGTAGATGACAGCAAGTACAACATATCAAAATTTATCATTTATTGTGTCATCAGAGAAGAACAAATCCTCATAAGCCCTGTGAGCACAAGGCTTGTTTAGTCCTCAATGAAATGAAGGACTTCAAAAGTCACAGTTCCTGGTAGAACCCTTAATGGTGTAGATGACTGGATCAGATACTTACTTATCTACAAGAGTCCGTATTACTGCCAACGTGTCCAGCACTAGCCCATCAACATTTTGTTTCTTTCTCCTTGGCTCATGTGGTCCTCGGCCCCTTCTTGGAGGCCGAACAGGGTCCCGGGGTTGGCTCCGTGTGTCAGCTGTGGGTACTGCACTGTTCTCAGCCTGCTGCTGCTGGGTGTCAACACTGTCTTCAGCTCCACTGTCATCCCGGCAAATACAGGAATTGCCCATGGTAGTGGCGGTACCCCTAGTCCCTAGCAGGTGGGCTATGTGTTCCTCGAGAGTCAACAGCAGACCCTGGCCAAGGCTTCTGCTTGCTAAGAACACGGCCCAACCAAAGACAATCATTTAGATAGTTTTCAGTTTTCCAAGCACTGTTTTCATAATCTGAAGTTGAGGAACTTGCATCCTATCTGTTTTTAATAATCGAATGCCAGAGAAAGCTGCAGAGTTCAGCCCCACCATTATCAGCTATGGGGAATCCTGGTCATCCGAGGGCAGTTCTAGAAGAAAAAGAAAGGGCAAATGAATAGGAGATTCTTGACTGCTCAATCACTCAAACTTTTCTAGTTTGATTTTATAGATATTAGGAATACAAAGAATCTTCTTTAGTAACTTTTATAGGCTTCTAACACAAAAAGTTATCTTTGGATAATAAAATTAATAAGTCATGATTTCTTATTGTATATTATAAAGTTGATGGTTAACATATATCCTTGTAAATCACAGGAGAGACGGCATTAAAAAAAACATTTGTAGTACTATCTGCAGAAAAATACAGAAGAATATGTGATTTATTATTTTTCTAAAGTTTCTTTTGTGATTAAAAAAAAATCCACCTCCTTTCTTACACCAAATGGGCATCTTAATGTTTCAGTAACATATCTACTTACAGATGTCTGTTAAAAAAAAGTTCTGGTACAAATGTGACAGTGTTCATTGGTTACCACCTACTTGATCTCAATAACAAAAGGCTACAGCATTTCACTAAAATTGGCAAAACTATGTGGCTTTCCCACTTGGGGCTTACCCAAGAATTTATAGAAATCATGTAAGTAGTCACAAAGTTTTTATGTTATAATAGCAACACTGTTTTCCAAAAGGCAAGTTTATATCAGAAAGTTACATTTTCACAATCATTAGTTTGTGGCGCAACAGCATAGTGGTTAAGGTCCTCCTCTTGCACGCCCGGGATCCCATGTGGGTGCCAGTTCTAATCCCAGCAGCCCTGCTTCCCATCCCGCTCCCTGCTTGTGGCCTGGGAAAGCAGTCAAGGACGACCAAAAACCTTGGGACTTGTGTGGGAGACTTGGAAGAAGCTCCTGGCTCCTGGCTTCTGATTGGCTCAGCTCCAGCCATTGCGGCTACTTGAGGAGTGAGTCAGTGGATAAAAGATCTTCCTCTTTGTCTCTCTTCCTCTCTGTATATCTGTCTTTACAATAAAACTGAATAAATCTTTTTTAAAAAAGGTTAAGAACAAGACATACCAGTTATCTTGTCTGAAAATACTAAGCTCCTTGCTCCAGGCACCAGGTGGGGACTGGGATAAGGATGAACAATAGTCTCTGTCCTAAAGGGATTGGGATGACTACTCTCATACCACACAGCATCACAAGGTACATTTATCATTATCATGAAAAAATAAATAAGACAAAAACAAAGAAAAAAAGAAACTCAGAAAGCCAAAAACAGGATCAGCTCTTCATTTAGCTTAGAAAATCTAGTTTGGTTATAGGAAGAAGAAAGGACTTAGAAGCAAGACACTGACTAGAGATTGGTGGCAAAAATTTAAGGATCAAGCTGTTCCCTGAACTTGGGACACAGAAGGAACTGACAAGGGGAATGTTAAGCAGTCACTCAAAATCTGGATCTTAGCAACGAACTCTTCAGAGCCTGAGCACTGGCTGATAAAACCTGCAACCTGGTGGGATCAGAGGCACAAAAATCCTGTTTCCTTTATTGATGACAGATTCACAGCCAATTATTTTCAATACTTTTCAATTAAATTACTGTTCACAGGAAGAAAGCAAAAAGATAGTTTTTCCACACACACAACTGTGAATATACAACTTACATATACAAGAGGTGGGAAATGAAAAGAAGGGATGGGATGGCAAAGGACCACAGAGAGGAAAAGAAGAGAGGAGAGGCAACAGGCAGGCATTATCTCCTCTCATTCTATCAAGACAGCAACAGTGAGCAAAGTAACACTGCTGATGTTTTTGGCCCCCTGAATCAGCCAGACTATCTTTAAAATTTGAATACTGCATTTAAAAAGGTGTGGCCAAAGTATATAGTAGAAGGATGTGAAGACTAAGCTGAAACTTTTTTTTTTTTCTTTAAAGAGAATACATTTTAAACCAACAAAGAGTCAAAGTAATGACATTCTCCTTATTCCAGGGACAAGAGTATAGTTTCCTTCGGACTTTGGAGCCTTGGAAAGTGGGATGGGACACAAGGTGCAAAGATTCCATCTACATATGTTGGAGACCTAATCTGCAGAAAGGGAGACCTAATCTGCAGAAAGGGATACCAATCAAGTACTAAAAATAACTGATTTGAGAATGTCAAAGTGAGCTTATGTCTCAGAAAACAAAGTGAGAGAGAGAATAGAGGGTCCTATATAGTTTAATGCCAATAATTATAAATAAGGAACAATATTGAGAGTGCTGATGAGGAAAGCAGTTTGGAGGCTTGGATTGGGGCTTAATAGACAATGACAGCATTCCATATATCCCATATGGGCAAAGAATCCTGGCTGTTCCACTACTGATTCAGTTCCTTGCTAATGTACCTGAGACAGCAGCATAAGATGGCCCAAGTATTTGAGCTCTTGCACCTACTCAGGAGACATGGAAAGAAGTTCCTAGCTCTGGCTTTTGCAGTCATTTGAGGAGTGAGCCACTGGGTGGAAGATCTCTTTCTTCCTTTCTGTGTCTCTCCCTCTCTTTTTCTCTGTAACTATGCCTTACAAATAAATTTTTAAAATCTTTTTAAAAAAAGGTTTATTAGGGCCCGGCGCGGTGGCGCAAGTGGTTAAGATCCTCACCTTGCATGCCCGGGATCCCAAATGGGCGCCGGTTCTAATCCCGGCAGCTCTGCTTCCCTTCCAGCTCCCTGCCTGTGACCTGGGAAGGCAGTCGAGGACGGCCCAAAGCTTTGGGAACCTGCACCCGCGTGGGAGACCCGGAAGAGGCTCCTGGCTTCGGATCGGCATAGTATCGGCCGTTGTGCTCACTTGGGGAGTGAATCATCGGATGGAAGATCTTCCTCTCTGTCTCTCCTCCTCTCTGTATATCTGCCTTTCCAATAAAAACATAATAAAAATAAATCTTTAAAAAAAAAAGGTTTATTAGATCTTGAATTTTTAAAAATTTATTTACTTGAAAGAAATCTTTTAACCACTGACTCATTCCCAAATGGCCGCAATGGCCTGGGTAGAAGCCAGGAACTCCACCCAGGTCTCCCACACGAGTGGCATAGTCCCAGGCACGGGGACTATTTTCTATTGCTTTCCCAGGAACATTAGCAGGGAGCTGGAAGCAGAAGAGCTGGAACTCAAACCAGTACTGGACGTCAGCTGCATTACAGGTGGTGGCTTACTTCAGTGCATCACAGCACTAGCCCATGGAACTTAAATTCTTAACTTTAAACGTGTTTATTTGGAAAAATAAAAACAAAAGTCAAACTAAAATCAAACCAAACAAAAATATGTTTATTTGGAAGGTAAAGAAATGAACTGAAACTATCTTTCAATGCTGTCCTTTTGAGAAGTCAGCCCAAATACCCACTAGAACAAAGTTACATCCTCCAGTTAGTTATACAGTATATCGCGATGCAATGGAAAAAGTAACTTCATAGGTTTACGGCAAGTTCACCCTCTGAAGCATTATAATGAACCTACACATTCTCGGCTTGTGGGGAACGTCATCCAGGGCAGATAGATCAGAATGAAAAATGGCTAATTGTAATTTTACTTCTTTTTTTTAAAGACTTATTTATTTTTATTGGAAAGGCAGATATACAGAGAGGAAGAGAGAGAAGATCTTCCGTCTGATGATTTACTTCCCAAGTGAGCGCAACAGCTGCAGCTGAGCCAATCCGAAGACAGGTGTCAGGAATTTCCTCCTCCGGGTCTCCCACTTGGGTGCAGGGTCCCAAAGCTTTGGGGCTGTCCTCAACTGCTTCCCCAGGCCACAAGCAGGGAGCTGGATGGGAAGTGGAACTGCTGGGATAGAACCAGCACCCATATGGGATCCCAGTGCGTTCAAGGCAAGGACTTCAGTCGCTGCGCTATTGTGCCAGGCCCGTAATTTTTATTTCATATCTCAAAATTATACTGCAAATGTTTGTCCTTAAAGATGACTACTTGTGTAAGTTTTTATTCCCACTACATTGTAGGTCCCTGAAGAACAGAAAGCATGTCTACCTTTCCTCAATTTCACCGTGACATAACAAAGCTCCAACTCTAAAAGAGAAGTCTTATTTGGGGGATACAAGGAAAACTTATTTTGTTCACTTGAAATCAGAAAATACTATTTTGGAGCAATTCCTTGGTACATTGCTGACAGATTGTTAGCTGACTAAATTCTTAACTAAGTCCCATACAGCTCTTCTATATGTATTATAAAACTTATATAAGTTTTTCAGTAAAATAAGGGTAGGAAGCAAGTATTTTCTTACATTCCTTTTTTTTTAAAAAAAAGATTTATTTACTTTTATTGGAAAGTCAGATATACAGAGAGGAGGAGAGACAGAGAGGAAGATCTTTTGTCCAGTGACTCACTCCTCAAGTAGCCACAATGGCTGGAGCTGAGCCAATCAGAAGCTAAGAGTCAAGGAGCTTCTTCAAGGTCTTCCCACCACGCGGGTGCAGAGTCCTAAGGCCTTGGACTGTCTTCGACTGCTTTACCATAAGCAGTGAGCTGCATGGGAAGCCAGGCTGCTGGGACAGAACTGGTGCCCAGCTGGGATCCCAGTACCTGCAAGGTGAGGACTTTAGCCACTAGACTACCATGCTAGGTCCCATTTCTCCACTTTTAAACTGGTTGTAGATTAAGTAAAAACATCAAGGAACCCAGATAATATGCAAAAGATAACCTAAATCCAAATCTATACGCTCAAATACACTTCATGCAAATGCTGTTTTAAGACCCTTACAGATTAATACAGACTTTCAGCTAGTCAGGTGCTGGGACTCACACTGGCCCACCAAGGTTTACTGATGGGGAAATGCGTCTTCCCAACTTACATTCATAAGATCACCATCTTGTGGAGTCTGGAATTGGCCACGGAGAGAATATTTACAGAGCAGAAAAGGAAAACCCCACAAATCAGGATTGCTGGTTTCCTGGAGATCCAATTGTCAGCACACTGTAAGTACAGTACATGTTTAGGGAAAGTCAATACATGTCTAGATGGATGATCAGAAGCATGTAAATGTTCCTTATCTGTATCCAAAAGAGTTTGTGGTATTTGATGAAAATGCATACATACCACAATTTACTGTATAGAGGTGTACACAGTACAGAACTTTAAGAAGATAAGAAAGAGGGTCCGGAGGCATGGCCTAGCGGCTAAAGTCCTCGCCTTGAACGCACCAGGATCCCATATAGGCGCCAGCTCTAATCCCGGTGGCCCCGCTTCCCATCCAGTTCCCTGCTTGTAGACTGGGAAAGCAGTTGAGGATGGCCCAAGGCTTTGGGACACTGCACCCGCGTGGGAGACCTGGAGGAGGTTCCTGGTTCCTGGCTTCGGATCAGCGCAGCACCAGCCGTTGTGGTTCACTTGGGGAGTGAATCATCGGACGGAAGATCTTCCTCTCTGCATATCTGACTTTGTAATAAAAATAAATAAATCTTAAAAAAAAAAAGATAAGAAATTCTATTTTGAAGCATTTGTAGATTCCACAAAGGAATGGCTGACTCTGACACGAAGAGTTCTGCCCATGCAACAATTTATCCCCTGACTACTTAATGAAGAAACTTTGTTACAGGAGAATTTCTCAACAATACTAGTAATTTGATGTTACTCTGTTATAACCCCTTTGAGGCTCTGTAGTTTTCTATTCAAAACATTAAAAAAAAAGCAAAAAGATTTTCTTAAATTTATTTTTTATTGGAAAGTCAGATTTACAGAAAGGAGACAGAGAGGAAGATTTTACATCCACTTGTTCATTCCTCAAGTCGTTGTACAACTGAAGCTGAGCCGATCTGAACCTAGGTGCCAGGAGCTTCTTCTGGGTCTCCTACATGGGTGAAAGGTCCCCAGGCTTTGGGCCATCCTCGACTGCTTTTCCAGGCCACAAGCAGGGAGCTGAATGGAAAATGGGGCTGCCAGGACACAAACCAGCGCCCACATGGGATCCCAGCACATGCTAGGCGAGGACCTCAGCGACTAGGCTACCATGCGAGGCCCAATCCTTTTACTTTTTATGTAGAAAGTTTGCTGTAAAAATCAGGAAAGGCCAGTGTTTTGGCATAGCAGGCAGGGCTGTTGCTATGATGCCAGCACTCCGTATGGATGACGGTTTGAGTCCCGGCCACTCCACTTTGGATCCAGCTGCCTGGTGGTGCTCCTGGAAGAGCAGCAGAGCATAGCCCAAATGTTTGGATTCCTATACCCACATGGGAGATCTGGAAGAAGCTCCTGGCTTTGGCCCCATCCAGCCCCGGTCTTTAAACCATTTGGGAAGTGGACAGAACACCTCTGTGCGTGTGTCTGTAAATCTTTCAAATGAATAAATTTTAAAAAATTAAAAAATATAATGGATGTGAAAGTGCTATGCACCGCCCAGTGTTGATGGTTCAGTGGCTAAAATACTTGCCTTGAGCTGGGATATCATAAGGGCGCTAGATTGTGTCTTGGTTGTTCCAGTTTCCAACCAATTCCTTGCCTGGAAAAGTAGTCGAGGATGACCCAAAAAAAGCCGTGGGAATCTTCACTCATATGGAAGAAGCTCCTGCCTCCTGGCTTTGGATTGGCTCAGCTCTGGCCACTGCAGCCACTGGGGAGTGAACCAGGAAGATCTTTATGTACCTCCTTTTCTCTCTGTATATCTGCCTTTCCAATAAAAAACAATAAATCTTTAAAAAATATCAACTTCCAGGATTTAAAAGTTAATTTTGAGACAAAAAAAAAAAAAGGAAAAACGTAGAGACATAATTTAAATAAAAACCCTCTGTGATATAGTAATTCTTTTTTTTTAAAGACTTATTTATTTTTATTGGAAAGGCCGATATACTGAGAAGAGGAGAGACAGAGAGGAAGATCTTCCCTCTGATGGTTCATTCCCCAAGCGGCCGCAATGGCTAGAGCTGAGCCAATCCGAAGATAGGTGCCAGGAGCTTCTTCCCGGTCTCCCATGTGGGTGCAGGATCCCAAGGCTTTGGGCTGTCTTCAATTGCATTCCCAGGCCACAGGCTGGGAGCTGGATGGGAAGTGGGGCTGCCAGGACATGAACTGGCACCCATATGGGATCCCCGCACGTTCAAGGTGAGGACTTCAGCCACTATGCTATTGCGCTGGGCCTGATAAAATAATTCTTATCACTGGATACTATTGCTTAATATAGAAATTTCTTATCATCAAAATGGTAATGCCTTTAAAATTATTATACTCTTGATAATCCATTGGTTGCAAGGGTTATAATCAAGCATTTCCTCTCTGAATCTATTTCTCTAAAATGATGGCATTATTTTTGATCCTCTACTGTTTAACAAAAAGGTTAAAACCAGGGCCAGTAAACTAAGCTAATGTCTGCAATGTCGGCATTCAATTTTAGATCACTGATTCAAGTCCAGCAGCTCTGTTTCTGATCCAGCTGCCTTCTAATGTGCCTGGGAAAGCAGAGGAGGTTAGCACCTGATGCCCATGTGGCTCCTGGTTTTGGCTTGGACCAGCCTTGGTGAATGCGAGCATTTGGGGAGCAAACCAGTGGATGGAAGATAGCACTCTCTCTCCTTTAAATAAACAAACATGTTTTAAAAAATAAAAATTCCCCTATTTCCATATCATTTATGATTAATTTTGCATGTTTCTTTTTTTAATATAAAAATTATTTATTTGGAGAGAAGGAGAGAGGGAAAAACAAGTGCATTTCCATTCCCTGGTTCATTCCCCAGAGCCTGCAGTGTCCAGGGCTGGTGGGAGGCAAAGGTAGTAGCTGAGAACCCAGTCCAGGTCTCCCATGTGTGAGACCTCAAGCCAGTTCCTCAAGCCATCAGTTGCTGCTTCCCAGGGTGAGCACTAGCAGGAGGGCTAGAATCAGGATCATAGCTGGGACTTGAATCCAGGCACTCGGATATGGGAATGTGGGCATCTTAACTCCTAGACTGAAAGCCTGTCCTTACCTCTTTTTTAAAGCTGCTCTGAGAGGGGAAAACTTAGTATCAAACTTAGAGTTTTGGCAAGTTTAGTTTCAAGGAAAGAGGTTCTGATACTCACTGTCAGGGCAGAGCACAGACATCCACATCACAACCAGCTACCACAGAGACATTTGACCAACTGGTCAAACCCTTTCTGACAACTGGCCCAGGAATCAATGATTCATCTCTTCAAGTATTTGCTTTTATTCATAATACAGACAAGTGACAGGAAGAATACTTTTTTTTCCCCCTGGAAATGATACTTTAGGAATATGCTGCCAAGAAAGGAAAAGTGAACAACCCAAAGGCAGCAAAACCAGACTCCAGGTACAAAATTATGTTTGCTGTTATCTTCACCTCATCATTTCAAAACAGTGTCAGAGCAATCAGTGCTTTCTCAATTCCCTGAGCCAAAGCTAAATCTAACAAGAACAGCAATATATGAAGCAGTCTTCAAAAAAATATTATGGAAAATGCAATGATAAAGAAGTACGCATGGATTTGAGTACATTTTTTGCATCAAGATAAACTTGTTTTAATTTCCCATAAACTTTTCAAATACCTTCCTATGATACATTGTAGACTTTGAGGAGGGATCTTGAGGTGTGGCAGATTAAGCCACAGGTTGGGATGGCCTGATTCCAGTCATGTCTGCTCTGTGTTTCTGATCCAGCTTCCTGCTAACACATTTGAGAGGCAGAAGATCATGGTCTAAATACTTGGGTTCTTGTCACCCACATGGGAGAACCCAATGGAATTCCAGGCTCCTGGTTGCTTCCTGATGAAGCCCAGGTTGTTGGGGAGAGAGAATCAGTGGATGGAAGATATTTTCATCCCTGCCCCTCCTTCTCTGTGTCACTCTGCCTTTCAAATAAACAAACAGTCCTTTAAACAATACATACTAGAAATTTTAATGATTTTCAGTCATTAGAAAAATGGATTAGCAATTAGATTTTTCCAGGGTTGTCAGCATGGCATAGTAGGCTATGCTTCCACCTGTGGTGCCAGCATCCCATATGGCACCAGTTCCGGCTCCTGTCCCAACTGGTCTATTTCCCATCCAGCTCCCTGCTTGTAGCCTGTGTAAAGGATGGCTTAAGTCCCTGGGCCCCTGCACCCATTTGGGAGACCTGGAAGAAACTCCAGGCTCTAGTTTTGGATCAGCTCATCTCTAGCCTTTGCAGCTATATGGTGAATGAACCAATGGATGGAAAATCTCTCTCTTTGCCTTTCCTTCTCTCCGTAACTCTGCCATTCAAATAAAAATGAAATAAATCTTTAAAAAAATTAATTGTCCCCTAAAGCAGTGATGTCAACATTTACCATCCCCTTATCAGTAATTAGCAAAAACTGTATGCATTTATTCATTCACTTTTTAAGCAAAGTGACAGGAAGAGATAAAGAACCATTGTCTGGGTCACACCTCAAATGGCTGGAACAGCCAAGGTTGGCATAGATCTAGCCTAGACTCCATCCTGGGTCTCCCCACATGGGTGACAAGGGTCCAAGTACTTGGGCATCCTCCACAGCCTTCCCAGGCATGTAGTATAGGAAGTTGACTAGGAAGTGGAACAGCTAAGACTTGTACTGGCATTCCGATATGGGAAGCCTGGGATGGCTGCCACGATGTCAGGCCCCTACCACCATTTCATTATGAAAAATTTCAAACATACAGCAAAGAAGTATTAAAATTCACTGTAAATAGATTCTATAACATTTTTCCGTACTTGCTTTATCACATATCTATTTATATCTAAATTCATCATCAATCCAATTTTTAAAATATTTCAAAATAAGTTGCAGGCACTAGTATACCTACCTCTAAGTAACTCAGCATGCATATAACAAAGTAGAATTGAGTGTTTTGGGAAGTTAATATTACAATGAGCTGTTTAAATCTTAAGCATATGTATTGTGTTCTGTTAAATACGTACATCTGTGTACTCAAGCTTGATCAACATAGACAATATACCCAGAAATATGTTTGCTTTAAAAATATCCTGCAGGACAACTTAAAGACACAATTTTCTCGCTGCAGATGGTGTTTAAATGGTAAAAACTTTGAAGTCACCAAGACTATTTGTATTGCAAAAAAGCAGCTATATTTCAAGAGTATACTTGCCAGTACCTAAAGATATTTCAACAAGGGTGTTTCTGTCTCTAAAGTACCTAGCATTTTATTGTGGAGGAAATACAGTCAGCCCTCCCT